GCAAACGGCCACGGCTCTTGCGGTGCCCGGACCACGACACATGAAAGCAGGGCAGGGCAGGGCTAGTTTCGGCAGCGGGCGGGGCGGTGCTCTGCCGCCACCGTCGTCCTGGGCACAGGAAGCGGAAAGCGCCGTTGAGCCGCCGAGAAACCCGGAGTTGGGTGGTGGAAGGGACGCGGGCTCGATAGTGTTTTGCATTGCTCGCTCCGTCACTTTGACGGTGCTTTGCGAAATGGAGCGGCGGCGAGCGAGAGGTCAGTTGTCCTCTTCCTTCCTTGTTGCTGCTTTGGGTCTGGAGATCGCAGAGCAATCTCCCTCCCCTGTTGCCGAGAGTGCGGCTTCTCCCGCTCCTTTTTCCAACAGAGGACAGACTCGCCCGGTCCTGCCAGCCGTGCGCCCGTACTCCCTTTCCCGTGAGCTCCGGAACCTGTTCATCTTTTCGCCACGGGTGGCCCTGTTGCTGCGCGGCTTCTTTCGACGTTGCGTGCTTGGCAGGAAGGCAAGCAGGCTGGCGGGCTTGCATCCCCGAGCAAGAGACAGGATGGAAGCGGGCGGGGGGACGACTCTTTGCTCTGCCCCTCCCTTTGCATAGCTGCGGTGAGACGTGTAGTGCGGAGGGCCACGCAGCAGACTGTATGTTAGAGAAACCGAGACCTTATGGGCAAGGAGTTTGTCTTCCACGAAGCTAAAAGCTGCCAGGAGAGGTTGAGTTGAAAAGAGAACTGCTAGGGAAAAGCAGCTTTCTGTGAGCCGCCCCGAGGCTTTGTTGCGATGGGGGCGGCATAGAAATGTTTTAAATAAATAAGTAGGGAAGTAAGTAAGGTGGGCTTTCGCTGGAGCAGCCGATCAGGCTGTTTCTCTCCATCTAGAATCAAATAACCGGCAGCTGGCAGAATGCAAGAGGATCTGGGATGATCATAGTTTTTGAGTTAATGAGGTGCTCCCTACCCAGACAGATTCCATACTTTTGAACTGTTCTGTTGGCTTTTGGTCAAACAAGTTGTTCTATGCTGAATCTTTTTGTTTTTATTTGGGTATTTATTTATTTGGGTATTTTTACCCCGTCCATATTAAGTTGCACGTCTCTGGACAGCTTACAAATCAACATCCAATAAATACATATAAACCAGTAATAATCCACAACTGAGCATAAAACATAGTTAAAACATTTAAACATTGAAATTACGGGAGAATAAATGCAGGCCCAGCATAAGTGGACAGCACAGAGGGACTGTCCACCATTTTGCTTCCTCTCTCTACGGTGATGATGATTTTCTGTAGTATTTTTAAAAAATGAATAGGCTTTATGGCAATTCATTCATAAGTATGGGTTGCTTATAACTCAAATGTTCATAACTTGGGGACTACCTGTATATAATTGCTGACATTTGATGTAATGTGCTGAATCCTTCTAGGTGTTCTTTGCAGGGCAGACACAGTTATGTCCAAAGTGTTCTGCAGATTCATTCACCATAATGGACCCCTTCTGTTCCAAGTATTGAGCAAGACATGAACTTGGAGGTTACTGACATGGTTAAACAGATGTTCAGTGTTGGTTATATTGTAAAATACATCTGGGCAAACTCAAGGCAAGCTTCCAGCTGGTTAGCTGATTAGTTAAATGTTCCTAACACTAGCAATGTGGCAGAGGGAAATGGTGTGATGGGATCTCATCACATAGTTGCACACTGAGTTGGTGAGAAGGGTGCTTGTGTATAGAGAAAATGTGTAAAGAGACGGCTGGCCTGGTTGTATGTAGGAGAGAAGGCTGCCAAAACCCATTCCCCCCAGGTTCTGGCCACATCCACCACTGACTTGGGAAGCTGTATGTGTAGCAGGAATGATTGGAGAAGATTACATGCGTACTGATAGAAGAGAGAGAGAGAGTGAGTGCCAATTCTCTACTTTCAAAAGTTTTGCACAGAACAAGCTCCCAAAGACTAGGCATGTCAATGTGTTACAGCAAACACAGATTTATTGTGGCACAAGCTTTGCTGGATAAGGAAAGTTCTTTTCCAAGGATGAACAACTGAGTGAAGCTGCTGGTTTTCAGTAGAGGGTAATAGTTGCAGTGCAACCAGTCAATACACAATAATTACACAATTGTTAATAATTGGTGATAGTACAATGCTTACTGGTTTGTTAGGGAGCTTCTGTATGTAGAAGAGAAGTGGGAATTAACAAGTAAGGTAACATGGACAATTTTTAGAAGGTATTCATAAGCATCCAATATTAACTGTGTTAGATCCTGGTTTAACAACTTTAGATTAAGTTGTATAAAATACTGAGTACAGCCATGAAAGCTGATAATACAAGTATAGTGCAGTTCTGTGCATGTTTGCATAGAACTTCCAGTGTATTCAGTGGTACAGGGGTACCTTGGCTCACGAACGCCTCAGTTCACGACCAAATTGGGTTGCGAACAAAAAATTCAAAAAAATTGTGACTCAGGTCACGAACTCCACATTGGGTGGCGGTTGTGCTTGGGTGGGGGGGATGACCGAGATCGCGCCTGTCTTTCCCGCATGAGTGCGCCCACAATCGTACCCTCTCCCCCCTGAGTGAGCCCGTAATGGCGCCCATGCAGGGATGACTGATGCGATCGCAGTCTTGCTGGGGGGTGGGGGGAGATGGCCGTGATCTATGTTGTTGTTTGTCACTTTGGTTCACTTTTTTCTGATTTAAAAAATATAAATAGTTACAGAATGGATCAGTCTTACTTACATTGAACCTTATGGGGAAATTTGACTTGGCTCATGACCAACTTGGGTCACGACCAGAGCCCTGGAACGGATTAAGTTCGTGAGCCAAGGTTCTACTGTACTTGGTTTCATGAAAGACTGCATAGAATTGCTGCCTACTTCTGTTAGCTTTTAAGGTGGCATAAGATTTTTTGTTGCTTTAATGAACATCTAACATTTCCTAACCAATTGAATGACACAAAACATTTCTTTTTCTAATCCCATTTCCTCCAATTCATTAGAACTAGAAACAAAATGATGTTTGCTATCTCTGAAAATGGGCATGTTGGGATGATCATATCTCCATTTAATTAGTTGAGATTTGAATGAACCTGTTGTCCACATGCTTGCTCCTCCCTTTGGGGCAAAGTAAGTAAATCAGGAAGCTTCCAGCTAATCACAGATTCCTGTTTTGTACCATGCAGGAAATTGTTTACCCGCTTTAGAACAAGCCAGGATATCAATCCAAGTTCATACTGTTAAGCCTGTACTTGGGAAACGCTGGCTATTTAAGCTCTAGTCGGTGCCAACATGTAAGGCCCAATCTGTTGTTTATGATCCTGACTAGAGTTTAAAAAGCTTCCCAAGTTGAATAATGGGGAATTCTTGTTATTTTAAAACTGGAATTAGATGTTTCTGACCTTCATCTCCAGCACATGCCAGACAAAGAGACAAGAGGAGGGAGAATGCTGGCCCAGCATTCATAGGAGCTCGTGCATGTAATGCTGAACTGTGTGTCTGCATGTCTCATAGTGAAACCAGTATAATGTGCCTTGAAGTATATGTAGGCAGCTGACTGCAGAATGTGATATTGTAGTTTATTGCATGTCTTTCCATTAAGTTTTGTTTTCTTAGTTGGTCCTGTACTGTCTTCTTCTGCGACTGCCTCATGATAATCAGTAGTGTAGGTTGGACATTTAACTAGTCAAAAAGATTTGGTCTGTTAACTAGTCAAATAATGATCAATTGCATTCTAACTTGTTTAGAACAATGAAATACACTTTAATCATCAACAGTTTTGATGCTTGTGCAAAATCCCCAAAATAGCTAACTTCTTATGAAACACTGGCATTCACTTGTAATTAATCATTAGTCATTTTAATATTTAACAGGGTTAGGTAAGTCTTCTACAGGTATGAACACTCACTGAACAGTTCTTAAACTTGGCAGTTTTCCAGGAATGCTAGATTCAGTCCACAGCATATTTAAATAACAGAAATAAAGCCTATCCTTGAACACCCTAAATGATGGGGCCTCAGCCACCTCCCGTGGAAGCCCATTCCATGCCCTCATAGTCCTAACTGTCAGGAAGTACTTCCTGGCATCCAAATTGAACCTGGGTTCCCTGAGTTACACTCCATTGGAGCACGCCTACTCTCCTCTGCAGGGGAGAACAGGTCTCTACCCACCTCTGTGTGACATCCCCTCACATACCTGTATGTCAGCAACAGATCCCCTCGGAGTCTTCTCTTTTCCAGGCTGAAAAGACCCAGCTCCCTCAGTCTCGCCTCATACGGCTTCCTCTGCAAACCGGCCACCAACCTTGTGACCCTTACGCTGTACCGATTCCAACCTGGCTATATCCTTCCTGCAACGTGGAGCCCAGAACTGAACACAATATTCCAATTGCAGACACATCAGTCATATAGAGTGGCAGTAATACCTCTCTTGATCTAGAAGCCACACTTCTGGCTATGCAACCAAGGGTGGCATTCGCCCTGCTAACTCAAAACAACAGAATGAAATTCAGTAGTGACAAATGCCAAGTTCTGCACCTAGGAAAAAGTAACTGAACACATTTTTACAAGATGGGGAATGCTTGGCTCAACAAATGAGAAGGATCTTGGCATAGTTGTAGATCACAAGCTGAACATGAGTCAGCAATGTGATGTGGCTGCAAAAAGGGCAAATGCTGTTTTTGGCTGTATTAATATAAGTATCACTTCCAAATCACATGAAGTACTAGTTCCCCTAGAGTACTGTGTCCAGTTCTGGGTACCACAGTTTTAAAAAGATGCAGAGAAGCTGGGAAGGGTTCAGAGGAAGGCAACAAGGATGACCCAGAAGTGAAAACAAAGCCCTGTGAGGAGAGAGTGAAAGAACTGGCCATGTTTAGTCTTGAGAAGAAAGAGAAGACAGAAATACTTGAAAGGATGTCACATTGAGGAGGGCCTGGATCTCTTCTCAATCATTCCAGAGTGCAGGACACCGAATAATGAGCTCAAGCTCCAAGAAACCAGATTCCAGCTAGGCAATGAGACCAATGACCTAGGAAGGCTGTGGGCTCTCCCACACTAGAGGCATTCAGAAAGCTACTGCACAACCATATGAGAGGGATGGTTAGGGTTCCGCACTAAGTTAGAGTCCTGTACTGAGCAGGGGGTTGGATCTAATGGCCCTCTGGCCCCTTCCAGCGCTACTATCCTATGATTCTATGAAGTTCTACCTGTTTTTGTTTATGTGTGGGTTTTGTTTTTGTTTTTTTAGTATTGATCTTGTAGGATTTTGGCAAGTGTGTCCACTCTAAGTTCCAATAATTTGGCTGCTTCCTTAAGTTGTAGCTGAGCCATTGTACTACTTACAGAGCTGCTTCAGTCGCCTTCTGAACTCTGAAAAGCCCCATTCATATTAAGTACCATTTTTCAGCATTCATTCATTCACTAACTAAATTTGACTTAAGATAAAGTCACCAGTACAGTATTTTAACCAATCAAAATACAAATATAAAAATGTGTGGGTTTGAACATCAAAGCCTACTTTGATGAGGAGGTAGCATATTTAGGTGTGACTTCATTCTGTCTTTTCAGATTCAGTGTCAAACCCCACCCCCCACCCTGAAAAAACATAAGGGTTTAAATGCATGGAAACTTTTGTTGGTGCAGTTTCTCTCATCTCACCCTGCCAAGGTGCTCCTTTCAAAATTCTCTCTTGCACACAACAATTAAAAGGATTAGGAACCTGTTTTCATCTGAGTGCCTTGGATACAGAGTGTCTGAGTATTATCAACAAAGTCAGAAAATGAGTTATCAAAGGGAATGTACCAACAGTTGCATTGAGTAGACCTTCTTATTATTGGTTTTTCTTTTCTTAGGTTTATGCTGAGGATCAAGTGAACTATTCCTGCTTCCTCAGAGGTGAAGGCTAAAATTGTCGTGCTCTTGAATGTTTGGACTTGTGGATTAACAAGAATACCCCAACTTTTCCTCTGGACGTAGTGACTCGCGAAGCACAAAGCGTGTGCCACTCCCTGCTGTTACCTGCCTTTTCTTCTGCCATGGATACAGAGTCAACCTATTCTGGATATTCCCACTATTCAGGTCACTCCAGAAAAACTCAGAGACAAGGGTAGGGACATTTCTTAATTGCAGCTCTAAGCTAGAAGTTGCCCTTTTCAAAATGTCTTTGCTTTCCCCTTCATTTACTTTCCAGCATTGAAAGGTATGTATAATCTCAGTCAAAAAATGCATAAATTTTCAAATTAGAACTGATAAAATGCAGCACCAGCACTGTTAGTACAAAACCCCCACCTACCTCTTATAGTTCAATTTCACATTGTTTCATTCAGCCAGATTTGCACGATTTTTAATTTTAAAAAATTGTCAAGGATCTGCAGTAATCACAGCAGTACATGCTTTGAAAAGGAGTCTGGAAAAAGTGTATGTAGCTGGCATTATCTCCTCTTTCTGGAATTGTTGGAGAAGTGTCTGAAATGTGGAAGGCACTGAGAACTGTCAGTTCAACACCTGAAATCCAGAAAATTACATTGCTAAGGGAGAGATCTTGTAACCTGCTTTTTGGTGCGCCTACCTTTTCCTCCTTTATCAGTGAATGTCTCTTGATAGCTCAGTGCCTGTGTGTAAATGTGTAATTTCACCTTCTCAGTTTCCATCTGTACCACCAACTATACTTTGTTCCCTTAGTCAGTTGAAACTTACAAGGACATCACCCAGGCAAAGCTACATATATCTGAGGGCCCTAATTGCACACTTTCTCACTCCTATTTTTTAAAAAAAATATTAACACACATGTCTACAGCTGAGTTTTGTTTTTTTTTAAGGTAGTGAACGATCACTCCTGCAAGGATGCAGGGGATATCCCTGGCAATAGCACAGGCAAGTGGAGGGGGTTGCTACTCTTGCCAAGAAGCTAGCTAGCCAGTCCACACAACCTGCATGAAACTAATCTCTTTGGTTTGGATCACACACAAGCCATCATGGGTCAGACAGCTTTAGAAGCCATGGGTTTTCAGGATGGCTCATTGCCCTCCCTGCTTCCCTGAAAAGCCACCCCGTGGAGTTTTGCTTTGGATAAAACAACAACTCACAATGGCTAATTATCCATGATAGGTTGCTGTGCTGTGTGAACCCAGTCAGAGAGACACTTTCTCTGGGAGAGGGGATAAAGTGAGATTTCTTCAGGGCTAGTTGCGTATGTCTCATGATGTTGTCTCTTGATATTCTACAGGAAAGTAGCTTAATTTATGCTTATGCAAAATTGGGTGTAGCCATTTTGTAATATTCTGAACTCCTTTCTCTCTCATTTTCTAGCTAGCCAATTACTACTACCTGCAACAACCAGGCTAAGCTAAGAAGAAACTGCTGTTACTCACATAGTTTCAGTGGTTTGGACATGTTTCAGTGAACTCAGATTATTTTGATGATCTTGTGAATACAAAGACTGACTTAACTATTGAAGTTGAAATCCACTATCCCAAATCTGCTTCAATGATCTTGTTCAGGCAAAATCCTAAGCAGTAGTAGGACTACTGCAGTTTAGAGCCCAAAGGAATGTTTGCGCTCCCAAATGTACAGCAGAAAATGTATGGGTTAGAACTCTGCACCTTTGCTTTCTGCCGTCTCAACTCCATTTGTCTCCATCCTCTGAATAACTTTGGTCTGTCTTTTAAACATCATACTAGACTATAGCTAGTGCACACCCACTTCAGGCCACAGTCTTTGATTTTTCTGGCCTCTGTTTGGCAAACTATGGTTTTCCAGTCAAGAAACCAAAGCAAATTGTAGCTGAGCTTCCTCATCATGGTTTGTATGATGTTTGAATTCAATGATTACCTTACAAGTACTTCTCACTACTTTTCTCAGCTGCCTTGTTTTATGTTATTTTTATTTTTTATTTTTTGGATTTATATCCTGCCTTTTTCCTACAAAGGGCTCAAGGTGGTGTACATCTCCTCCTCCATCTTATCCCCACAACAACAACCCTATGAAGTAGGTTGGGCTGAGAGTCTGTGACTGGCCCAAAGTCACCCAGTTGGCTCCATGGCTGAGCGGGGACTAGAACCCAGATCGTCTGAGTCCCAGTCCCATGCTCTTAACCACTACACCACACTGACTCTCTCTTTAATAGCAGTTTTAAAGATGGGCTACATGTGTAAATTTACACAGCAGAGCATTTTTAAAATTCCCTCCTGTTCACTGGTTCTTCACCTTCTGTTTTCTCTTCATCTCTTTTCCTTTTCATATGTAGCTCAACTAGTCAATTTATCATGTTCAACTGAGGTAAGATTTCCAAAGAAAGCCATCATTTGTGGCCACCAGTAATGTGCAGGCTAAATGAAGAATGTAGGTATTACTTTGCTTATAAATCTTTGCATGCATTCCACCCAACTGGAGCCATGTAAATGAATGACTACACCCACTGTTGCATAAGCATAATTTAAACTAATTTCCTGTAGAAATTTGGAGACCTTTCCTGAGTTAGGAAACAAATTGCCCCCCCCCCACTTTTTCATTTCCCTCCCCAAGAACGTATTCCATAAAGATACCAGCAGGTGTACTGAGAACCAGGTGATAGTACAAGATTCCCTTCCACTGAGAGAACTAACAACAATACATTTCACTGTTCACAATGCCAGTCTTGACTGACACTGGTGTCAGCTTTATGTTGTGATTGCCCTACTGCAGTTACTTACCTGACGAACTGCACTGAAGAAATGACACTAAGAGTGGAAAGCTTTGTGGGCACATTTGTTTAGATACCGCTTCTGTGATTTTTCATGTTTGTTTGATTTGATTTGAAAATGGACTTCATCCATCTGAGAACATCTGCAAAGTTTTCAATATTCTTAACTGGCCATTTCCAATCATGTATCAGACTATGCTAATGTGCTGTGAGAGAGGCTGAGAAATTGGCCTTGGAAAATTAAAGTACCATGTTGGATGCACCCACCATTCTGAGAGAGTGGAGACTCGCTGCAGCATTGGCCCTGCCTTCTGCCAGTAAGCGGACACTGACATTCCAAGGGGGCAAGTAATGATATGTTGGGATTCCTGGCCCAGCCCATAGAACATTTGACAGCCTCACCTCTCCCCAAAAGGCACAGTACTTTCCTTTAGCCCTGGCTGATTCCAGAGCAGTAAGCAATAAAAAGAATAAAACGTTATGCTAAAATAGAATATCAATAAAACAGTATGACGTTGCAAGAAGGATGTTTTTGCCATTATTATGAGAGCTTATCAAGGAAAAATATGCCTTCTGGAGCATAAGAGAGCTGTCTTCTGATTTTTAATCCAATGAAATACTGTATCGTGAGCATCTGCTTTTAACAAATAGCCAGTTCTGCTTTTAACCCCACCCACATTCTAGGGATGGCAAGAACTCTGGATTATTTTTCTTCAGAACAGAAAAGGGGCAATTCATTTTTCAAAGGACTGTGGTCTTGAAACCTTGTATCTGTGAGTTGCTCAGAAGCTTTCAAAGCCTGTATATTGAAGTAACTACCAGGATTGTCTGCTCCTAATGGGGTCCATTTGTGGAGGCCAAAAGTTACATAATTGAACAGTGATTCTCAGTAAGTGTCTGGCTAGAAGCACAAAGCACCAAGCCAGTCTTGCATTGGGAGGGTATCACGAAAACAGTGCTGGTTAGCATAAGGGGGCAGGTGTAAGAATTCCATTGCTGTGGAGAAAGGAAAAGCCACACATGCCAAAAAACTCCCTCCTGAACAGGTTCTTCATGCAATCAGCTGCTGCTTTGCTTGCATTGCTGTGGGTTTGTGTATGCAACAAAAGAAGTCAGATTTGTCAGCCAGACTCCAGAATATTTGAAGGCTTCTCCACATTATGTCCTAAGCAGTGCTTGTTGAAGGCAGCAGGTTATGGACTGTGACCGGTGAGGTTGCGAACAGTGGATAAAGTAGGGTCTCAACTGTCATCTCTCTCTGTGGAGGTTCGTCAGAACTGAGACCTCATGTCCCGTTATACTTCCTCAGGAACCCCTTTAAACATCTGCCTGAGGAATTGTGTTGCTGTGTCCTCTCTTGCTTGGAATGTTTTTATTTATTTTATTTGGGATATTTCTAACCCGTCCAATCACTATGCATCTCTGGACGGTTTACAACAGATTCAATAAATACATCAATATAAATATCATATTGAAATGGTGTTGCATTTTGAAAGCCCTGGTTAAACTGAACAAACAGTTGTCACCAGCTGACGGGTTGTTAGGGCTAACATTTGCTGCAGAACAATCAGCTTGTGAAACTGTTTTTTCCTTTTTATGGAAAAGGAGCCGGGATAGGCACAAATCATCTCGGAGTAAAGATGGCGGTCACTCAGAGAAGTCGGTTAGCATTCAAGCACCACCAGCAGAGCTACTGTTGGGAAATGATACTTCTCAGGCAGAGGATGCTCAGGTAAGGACTGACGAAGGTGGGTAGAGCACAGATTGCAGGTACAAGACCTTGCAATGAGTAGCTTGGCAGCTACATGCTTACTATTGTAGAATCGGGGGGGGGGGGGTTTAAATGCTAATTTTGTTTTGAGTGTGTCAACAAGTTCATCATCCTAACTCTTGATATTCTTCCTGCTGTAATTACAATCTTATGCTTCTGTAGCAACAGTTGTCACACTGTTTAAGGCACAATCCTATGCAAATTTAGACAGAAAAAGAGTCTGTTCCAGCCAATTATGCAGACCCAGCACAATGAGATGTGCTCAAGTACTTTTCACTGAGTTATAACTCAGGTTATTCTTGACACAGGATGCCATGCTATAAATGGTAGATACATGAAAAGTACCTTTTGGATGTCATTCAGGTACACTGATTGCTTCTTGCTTTCACAGCAGCTGAGGTCTTTTGACTACATACAAAAATAGCATAGTTTGTTTCCTCCACACTACCTTACTGGCTTTCAGAGTTGATTTTCCTGCAGTGCTTCTCTTCTGCCCTGGTACAATAAACTCCTGTTAAGATTGATATGGATGCTGATCTTATGGTTAGATCTAGTAGCTATTTGATTCCTTTGCCACTCCCACTGAAAGAAATCATATATATTATATAGGCATATATAGCAGAATAGTGCAAGGAGCAAGTGTGTTGGACTTGAAATCCAGTAACTGATGCACAAAGAGCAAAACTTGCTTTTGAAAGATGGTCTGTATATGCCTTCTGCTGTGGGCATCTTGTGAAATGATTTTACAGCTTCACTTTGCCATCTGTGAGATGAAACTAATATTGATGTGTCTTAAAGAGAAAGTACTTCCCAAATTAAAAGGGACTGGAAAACTTAACAGTATGCAAAATGTGCCTTTTATGTGGCGCATATTTTGAAGGGCTTCCAAAAGTCCTCTAAATCTAAAAATGCATTCCATCTATGACTAAAGTGTGTGGGATGAAAGATATGCCAGATAGCTGTGTTTGTGGAATGCAATGACCTGCAATGCCGGTGCAATGCTTGTTTCCTTGCCAGAGGGCAACATGGCCTACCTGTGCAAGAAGTGCAGGCTAATAGCCCTGTTAGAAGAAAAGGTGAGAGTGCTGGAGCAGCAGGTGTGCACTCTCAAGATAATAAAAGAAGATGAAGAGTTTTTAGTCCAGTGGAACTGCAACAGCTAGGAGTAGAACAGAAGCAAGAAGTGCATTAATGAGCTAAGGCAGAAAAAGAAAACTTTGAGGGAATGGAAAATGAGGAAACTCCCTGGAAAAAGGGGACAGGTGCAGAAGAACTAGGAAATACTTGGCGCTAGTGGAAGCAGTGGAATTCTCAGACCACTTTAAGTTACTTGAGGAAGAGATGGATGAACTACATGACTCAATGAGTAACTCTGAAAAAAAGACAAAAGGTCAATCTGGTAAGGAGAAAATATATAGGTTTGCAGCAACAAAAGGAGAAGAGTTGTCAGAGATTCCCTATTGTTGAAAATGGAAAAACAGGTATGTCAGTAAGACCATTGGAACTGTCAGGTGTACTTTCTCTCTGAGGCAAAGATCGATGATGGATCTTGTACCAATGCTCATACAACCTACTGTTGCACAACCCACTGACACACATTTCTTCCTTCTCATTCAAGTGGAAACAACAGGAGCTTTGAGGAAATTATGTCAGGCTTTGAAACCTTAGGGAAGAAAATGAACATTGGGGCCCAGATAGTTTTCTCCTGAATCCTTTCAACTCATGGAAGTGGAAAAGGCAGGAGGAAAAGAATTCATGTGAAAATACTCCATGAGAATTCCTGGCTATGATGGTGGTGCAGCCATGAGAAATTTGGATTGTGGGACCATGGACTAAGATTTCTGGAAGACTGACTGCTGGCAAGTGATAAATTGTACCTTAGAAAGAAAGGAAAGGATGTACTTGGCCACAGCATGAAGAAGTTTCTCAGGAGGACTTAAAATTTAATTCTACAGGGGAGGGAGACGTACATGTGGGTGCAACATCAACTGACAAAGGATTATGTACTGCAGCAGTGAAAGGAACTCTAATTGGGCCTTACACTAGTCTCTCAATAATGTAGCAAAGACACCAGGGAATAATTCATATGATCTTAGAAGTCTATACACTAATGCCCAAAATATGTGAAACGAACAACCTGAAGTGGAATTCTTTGTACATGAGGGCAAATATGATGTGATAGATATAACTGAAACTTGGTGGGATGACTCCTATGAATGGAATTCAGAAATTGCAGGATATAACTTGTTCAAAAAGAATAGAAGTAACAGAAAAGGAGGCAGAGTTGCCCTTTACGTTAAAGATACATATCTCTGCAAAGGATACAGGAAAAAGTGACCAGTAATCCCACTGAGTATATCTGGATTACTATAATAGAAAAAGGAATAAAAGGAGCATAGTAGTTGGAGTCTGTTACTGTCCACCCATTCAAGGAGAGGATAAGGATGAAAAAAACAAACCTAAATTGTTAGTATTTCAAAGATGCTTGATGTTGTCATTAAGGGGGACTTCAGTTTCCCTGATATCTGCTGGGATGCAAACTCTGCCAAACATGCCCACTCTAAGAGATTCCTAACATGTGTCACTGATAACTTTCTCCAGCATAAAGTAGAAGTAGGAATGAGCTTTACTTATGATAGAATAGTAGAGTTGGAAGGGGCCATGAAGGCCATCCAGGGAAGACATAGTGGACAAAGTAACAGCTACAGGAACTCTGGGGAAAAGCGACTGTGCCTTACTTGAATTCTCAATAATAAAAGAAGCTAAAACTAAATACAGTCAAACATCTACCCTGGATTTCAAAAACAGCAAACTTTAAAAAAATTCAGGGTAAGGATAAACAATGACTTTTCATCAACGACATGGAAGAAGGGGTGAACAATCTGCTGGTCAAATTCACGGACGATACTAAAATGAGGGCAGTGGCCACAACTGAGGAGCAGGTACTCCAGATCCAGAAGGATCTGGGCAGACTATGGAAATGGGCAGGAGAAAGCAGGATGGCATTCAATGTGGATAAGTGCAAGGTCTTGCACTAGGGGCATAAGCGCGTGCGTCATAAGTACAGGTTAGGGGACAAGTGGCTGGAGTGCAGCACTTGTGAAAGGGATCTCCGGGTACTGGTTGACTGCAGGCTAAACATGAGTCAGCAGTGTGACGTGGTGATTAAGGGAATGCATAACCAGAATGCATAGACAGAAGCATGTCTTCTAGATCGTGAGATCTAGTGCCCACAACTGGAGTATTGTGTTCAGTTCTGGGCCCCTCAGTACAGGAAGAGTATAGCCAGGTTAGAGTCAGTGCAGTGTAGGGCCACAAGGATGGTGGCTGGATTGCGGGAAAAGTCATATGAGGTGAGACTGAGGGAACTGGGTCTTTCCACCTTGGAGAAGAGGAGACTCCGAGGGAATCTGTTGGCGACAAATAGGTACGTGAGGGAGTGTCACATGGAGGTGGGTAGAGTCCTCCCCTGCAGAGGAGGGCAGGACGCGCTCCAACAGAGCGAAGCTCAGGGAACCAAGGTTCAGTTTGTATGCCAGGAAGTATTTCCTGACGGTTAGGACCACAGGGGTATGGAATGGGCTTCCATGGGAGGTGGCTGAGGCCCCATCAGTGAGGGTGTTCAAGGATAGGCTAGACATGCACATGGTGGGCATGTTGTGAGCGGAGCTAGCTAGAGCCAGGGGTCAGACTAGATGGCCACCAAAATACAAAGGGACCTTGAGCTCAGTCCCTCCACAATTGCTGCTGTCCCTCCACATGCACCCCCTCCAGCTGTGTTTCCTTAGTTCTTTCAACATCAAGATTGAGTCCCACAGAACCAGGCTACAGCTACCCTCTTGCATCCAGAGAAACCTGAGATGGTGTACTGACCTCCGGAATACCACTAACAGCATCCCATTTACCCCACAGGACCTGACATTTTCTGTGATCCCAACAGATGCCTCACTTTCTGTGGCTATTTAACAGCCCAAGGCAGATGGGACCTTTCCAGGGCATCATGTCACATATACTTCTTAGAGCTCTGGACAGTACAAGAAAGCCCTGCTAGCATTCCAAAACCTAATCCTGAACTGCCATGTACAAATTAAATCCAACAATACTTTAGTTGTCTGCTGCATAAAAAAGGAGGTACCAGGTCAATTCCTCTAGTTCACCTTGCCACTAAGATCTGGACATCGTGCACAGCTGAAAGCACCACCCTCGTGGCAGCCCACATAGGTACCAGCAGCACACTGGCATATGATCAAATGGAGGATGTAGCAATGCCATTCATTCCAGCTCTACCACCTGCCATGAAGGAAACCTGGGAGCTTCCCAACCAGCTGCACCAAACATTAGGATGACTAGAAGAAATGTACAGGGTACAAGAGAGAGAAATACCTTCTTCACATCTGCACCCAAATTCCGTAATCATTGAGTCAACATGGGAAAAAAACAATGTGAACATTCTGCACTGACTGACCATGATGGTCGCCGCCTTGCTGTGATGGCTCGGCATAAATACTCTGCCGTGGGACTGGGCCTCTGCATCTCAAATTAAGAAGACATGATGGGAAGGCCCCAGATTTTCCTTTGTCAGAAGAGGCCCTAGTTTCATTCCTCTTGGAGCAATGAGAGCTCACCAGAGTATACATTGCTAAAGCCCTCCAACTTGTAAAGCAGTAAATCGTGTCGACTTGCCAACTTTTGCAATTCAAGGACCCTTGTCAGCTGTGGTAGCTGTTCATAGATATGTGTGGCTTTGGGCAACTAACCTTCCCCAGGAGACTCAAGAACATACCCTATGATGGAGAAGGCCTTTTCCATTCCAGGACAGATGAGAGCTTGGACACACTCCAGAAAGCCAGGGTTACAACTTAGACAAATGAGTTTTGGTACCTACCAGCCCAGAACCCGTAAGTGGCCATGGGCCCCACAATCACAGTATCAGCTGTACTGATCTAGGTAACCAAGTTCCTTCCCTGGGCACCAGCAATATGGACAACATTCACCAACCCAGCAATGCTGTCGCAACACTACCCATTTTCAACATCCTAAAAGAAGGCTAGATGCCAAGAAAAGGCAACATAGACAGGTAGTGCGAATCTGTCCCTCTCACACTGCACCATTCCCATTTGGTAACCATCTAAATTACCATCTTACCATTTGGGAAACCATCACCATCGGTGGGTACTAACCATAGTGCAACATGGATACAAAATCAAATTTGAGACTTTGCCAGCTCTTGGAAAAGTCTGGATAACTCCCCCCTCTCCAGACCTAGTGGAGGAAGTTCATATCTTACTAGTAAAAGGGGGCAATCTGCCCAGTCAACAAATTGAAATACAGCACGATTTTTATTTGAAGTACTTTACCGTTCTGAAAAAAGTTGGCAGTCAATGTCTGATTCTGGACCTGCATTTCATCCTGCCCAAAAAATTCTGAATGGTCTCCCTGCAAGGCATCTTATCATTGCTGCAAAGAGGGGACTGGTTTGTATCACACGGAGATTGGTAGAGACCTGTTCTCCCCTGCAGAAGAAAGCAGGACATGCTCCAATGGAGCAAAGCTCAGAGAACCAAGGTTCCATTTGGGTGCCAGGAAGCACTTCCTGACAGTTAGGACCCCGAGGGTGTGGAATGGGCTTCCATGAGAAGTTGTTGAGGCCCCATCGGTGAGGGTGTTCAAAGATAGGCTGGACATGCACATGGTGGGCATGTCGTGAGTGGAGCCGGCTGGAGCCGGGGGTCAGACTAGATGGCCCGGGAGACCCTTTCTGACTCGCTCTGTTTCTATATAGTTGAAGGATGCATATTCCCATATAAGCATCCATCTGGACTATGCATACTTTCTGCATTTTCAGATTGATAACCTACCCTTATGAATGTAAAGTACTACCATTTGGTCTGTCTCCTGCACCGAGGGGCTTTACTAAATGTATGGCTGTGGTATGCACCAATCTGAGACTCCAAGGGGCACAGTTGTTAGTTGCTCCCTCTGAAAGTAAACTCTTAAGATCCATTTCAAAGACATGCAATCTCCTGGAATTCTCAGTGATGAGAATTCCATGCTTCTTCCTTCACAGTCAATCATGGAAATCAGAGCCCACCTGGATTCTCTGTCAGCTTGAGCCCACCTGCCCCCAGACCATGTAGAAACACTGACAACATCAGCTCATTGTCTGTGCTCCAAACCAAGATCTACTGCCCAGGCGATCCGGCAATTACTAGGCCATATGGCATCAACTGTGGCAGTGGTTCAGTATGCAAGACTACACATGAGACCACTCCAGTTGTGGCTTACAAGGGCATACCGTTCTGACTGCAGCTCTCCCAGGAAAGTCCTCACACCTTCTCCATCCATAAGGACAAGCCTTTCCTGGTGGATGGACAAGTCCAACCTGATGCAGGGACTGCCCTTCATGCCACTGGAACTGACAGTAATAGTGACCATGGATGCATCTCTCACCTCCTCTTGTTACATCTGACAGGTCTGAAGCCAACTTCAGTCAGTGTCTTTCTCTCCACAATTGTGAGGACCTCTCTGTGAGGTCCAGTTGATGGCTGCTTTGTCTTCTCCCATCCCCTCTCACAACAGTTTATGAAAGGACTTTACATTCAGTCCTGCTATCTGATCACTAATTCCCAGTTGGAGTCTATCTGTAGTGTTGCAAGCCTTAATGAGACTTCCCTTCCAGCCACTCGCAACCATCAATCTCTGCCTCCTCTCCTTTTTGGTGACCATAACCTTGGTCTGAGGAGCAAGTGAGTTGTGTGTACTAAGGATAGACCATCCATATCTTACTTTCCATAAGGAGAAGGTATTCCTAGGGCGAGACGCTACTTTTCTCCAAGGCCTCCCCAGCCTTTCATTTGAACCAAGACATAATACGACTGTCTAGCTTTCTTCTCAACTCCATCAACACTGATTGAAAGGACGTTGCACACACTGGACATGCAGACAGCACTAGCTTTTTACCAATTCTATATGGAATCAATCCACCATGCCAAAAGACTATTTATTAAATATGTGAACCATTCCAAAAACAAGCCATGACTCAATGCAGAGGACAGACTGGAAAGGAGAGAGAAGAGATTTTTCTGTGTTTAGGCAGAGTTCCAGACTACCAAAGGTCACATAACCCACCCACTGCCCCTTCTCAGTGTTGTATTTTAAGTATGCTTTTGTTCGTAAGACTATACTGACTTTGATAGAATCAGGATTGGTTCTGAGGCCCCCTGAGCAGTGATGCGGGATGGTATAGAGGTGAAATAATTAATAATAATAATGGACACTGGGGTGGGGGGTAGGTTCCCATGGAAATGTTCTTAGCTACTAAATCTTCCTAGTGACAGGCTCTATGCAGGTACAGAGCCCATTTGTATGAAGGTACAGATGACTGCTCAAAGAACAACAGTTACAGTTAAGCAACCTGACTTTCTTCTTTCCTTTTCTGGTCCTCTTTTGTGGAATGGAAGGGTGGATAAGAACACCACTTGAGCCCCGAAGTCACTTCCTTCCAAGAACTTCATAGTCTGACACTTCAATCATGCATGTGCTATGAATTGTCCAGAAGGGAATAACGATAAGCAGAAGGGAATAACTATTGGTGGACTTAATGAGTGTCAGCAGCCACTTCGTCCTATCTCCAGTCAATGCTCCTGAGGGACAGCATCTTACGGACATTGGTCTGATTAGTACACTATTGTTCTTCACAGGAGAGTCATCAACCCCCCTTCCATTCCTTTTGTCACAGGAAGTGTTTCCAACCACTCTGTTCTCTTTTCCCTGCCCACCCCATTTAATTTTTCTACTAGATTTGATCTTGAGTACCTAGATAAGCTGACTTCATGTATTAAATTTCTCTTTCCAGGTAAATTAGAGGAAACTCAAATTTACTAAGTGGATACGTCATATTCAGGTGTTCTGAATTCATATCATGTATGAGGGACAGCATAAAAATGCGTATGCTAGCTCTTCTTCAGCTTTTTTCCCCAGTTAGTACAAAAATCAGCTAACTGGGGAAAATGCATCATTATATTTCATCTCAGAATATTAATGTGTTTAAAATATCTTGCCATTATTTAACCAATATTTGACTGATCAGTTGACTGACTCTGTTTTTAACCTGCCAGATCCCAGTATGACTTCTTCCACATTCATTCTCAATTCTTTGTGATTGTCAACAAGCATATAGGTAGGACTGATGTGGATGTCCCTTATCAAAGGCTCCAGATTAAATTTAGTGGCCATAAGGCAAGAATACAAGGCACCCCTTGTAAATCTGTAACTGATGGAAAAGTGAGAAGCAATACCTTTATAATTTCTGCAATGGAGGGATTTAAATAGCAAGATCCCACAAAATCCTTCATTATGACTGGTGGCATTTAATGTTCTTCATTTATTCCAAAATCTGGGGTGAAAAGAGAAGTGGCTAGATTTTGGATGATACTAAATTATCCTGGATGGGGAAATTCCAGGTAGAGTCTAAAGCATGGGTCCTCAAACTAAGGCCCATGGGTCGGATCTGGCCCACCACGCCCATTTAACCGGCCCGCCCCACAGCTTGCTCACAAGGAGGTCATTTTGGACTCACTCAGAGAAAACGATCTCCTTGCGAACAAGCTGGCACCTCACCCCGCGCACCCCCCCATCCCCGCCTTGCGTGTGCGTGCACCCCGCCCCCCACACCGGCCAGCGCCCCCCCTGCTGGCACCACCTTGGTGGCCCGCGCCCACCACTGGTACCTGTCAACTGGCCCCCTGTTGAAAATGTTTGAGGACCCCTGGTCTAAAGAAATAAAAAAGTATCTCTGCAGGTAAGTGAATGGACAAAACTGTGACAGGTGAGGATCACAGTGGAACAGTGTTTTCAATAGACATGTTTTTGAAAAAGTCCAATACAGGGAGTCCCTGAGTTATGGATGAGTTTTGTTCCTGAGAATGTCCTTAAGTTGAATTTGTGTGTAAGTTGGATCACATGAGTAAGCCAAATGTTTGTCTTAGGATATGCATGCATTTTACCTTTCTGTGCGTATAAAACACTTCAGAAACACCCCCATATTCACTAAAACATCTTAAACGCAATACAGCATTCTCTACCAACTCTCTGTCTCCAAGGAAAAGCCATGAATATCTCTAGGGAACTACACAGGCACTGATGACACATTGCCAAATGCATCACATAATTCCCTAGAGATATTCATATAGTTAGTCAGTCTGTGTGTTTATAAGTATGAATTTTTTGTAACCCGGATGTTCGTAACCTGGAGACTACCTGTACTATTGCCTATATCCTGAAGCATCTATACAGGCATCTGCAGTATATGTATTTGTAGTATATGCATTTGCAGTATATGCATCTGTATCTTAGGCAGGAAGTATGTCTGTGGAAAGTTGGATAATGGTCCTTGATGTTGACCCTAGTGAAGTAAATTGTTTTCTTTGCAAAATAATTGTGCTCAAATATCAAGAGTAATGGAGAGAAACTATGCAGCTTCCTGTAATCCCAGTGAAGTGCTAAGATGGTGATCAGCTGTAGAATTGGGAAAACAAAGAATGTCAGCTGCCTTTTCTCCAGTGCATCCTACTAAATGTGATGCGCCATATTATGCCTGCACTGGTCCCTGTCAGCCATTTGGTTTCCAGTGTCTGCATGCAAAGACTGGGGGATTGGAAACACTGATCGAGCATTTTTCAGATGACGAATTTAGAGCCATCTGAAATTGCACCAACTGTCAGGCACTAGTATGACTGAGTAATCTCTTCTTTTCAGGATGACAACTGGGGCGAGACCACAACTGCCATAACAGGTACTTCAGAACATAGTGTGTCCCTGGAGGACATTTCCAGGATCAGCAAGGACTTGGAAGACAGTGTTGGCATAGACTGCAAGCGTTACCTTGCCCTTACAGTGGCTGCCATTTTGGGACTTCTTGTTTTCCTTACTCCTATCACCTTTATTCTGCTCCCACAGATCCTATGGAGAAATGAATTGGAGCCATGTGGCACAGCTTGTGAAGGACTCTTTATCTCTGTGGCTTTCAAACTCCTGATACTCTTGATTGGTACCTGGGCTCTTTTTTTTCGCCAGCCCAAGGCTGATCTCCCAAGAATGTTTGTCCTCCGCACCCTCATTCTGGTCCTTGTATTTCTGCTCGTGTTTTCCTACTGGCTTTTTTATGGTGTTCGTATTTTGGAGTCTAAGGACCTTAGTTACCAGGAGATTGTACAGTTTGCTGTGTCACTCGTGGATGTGCTGCTTTTTGTTCATTATCTTGCTATTGTGGTGCTGGAACTGAGACAGCTACAGCCTATGTTCACGGTCAAAGTGGTTCGATCGACAGATGGAGAATCACGCTATTACAGCTTGGGACACTTGAGGTAGGTTGGAGGCCTAAAGTACCTAGAGAAATTTAGGAAGCAGGGTTGCGCAATGTTTGGAGAAAGGCGCTTACAAAACCTTCAAATATTTTCATGCTTGAAGGTGCGCAAAAATAGTGTAACAGTTTGGATAGTTATTATCCTTGTGTCTTTTTTTTTTTGTTACAAAGATTGTTCTCCTCATAATACTCAGTTTTCCAGAAGTGCTGTGGTGGAAGAATCGCTTCTGGAATTGCAGCCTTCCAAGGCAGTCTTCAAGAATTTTTTTGGTGTAATGGTGATGTTTCTCTCCCTTGTTTTCACCTGAGAGCTGTTCTAGGGGTTTTCAAAGAAGTGGGCTGATGGAAGGAAGTTCATTCAAATACAAAGGCCTGGTATTTAACACCATCAGGGTTGAGTTCTGTACATACCAGTCAAAACTTGCTGCAGTTTTCTTATGTGCACCATGATTCCAGTTCAGTGAGAAATTCTCACAAAACAAATCCCAAATCCCAAGCTTTGACAGAAGCTTAGGAAAGCCCTATGCATCCAGAAAGGGCATTATGTCATTGATAAGCTATTATAGCAACTTCAAATGTAGATTTTCCTGTGCTTTACATCTCCATCAGAATATTGCAATAAGGCAACTGCCCCTAACCCTTCACCCTCCAGATGGAACATTTAATTCCCATAATCCCTGGCCAGCATGGCCAGTGATCAGGAAATCTAGAAGTTAGAATCCAAAACATCTGGAGGGCACCAGGCTGAGGATGGCTCTGCTAGGGGATTCAGTGAACCATAGCATGGCCTTTGATAATATTTCCATATATTACATTTTTTGCATCTGCACCTAGAAAGGCAGAATAGGCATGTGTGTAATCCAGATTTGCTTCCGTGTCCCCGTTGCATGTACATAACAAGCCCAAATTTGCCTCTGCATAACTACCATGTACAGCTGGTGTACTTTGCCAGACCTCTAGAGAGCATGTATTTAAAAACTCTTCATCAGCTTTGCTTGAAAAACATCAAACTCTCTAGACTTTTACCTTCACTCCACCTTCACTCACCGTGCTGTCATGCCATTCTAGACTCCTCAAGAAAATGATAGGGTAGAGTGATGCGCAGTAATTACAGGTCTGTAAACTCAAATGAGACAGGTGCCTGCTTGATCATGAAATGTCACGAGACAATGTTCCATTTTTCCTAATTACATGTTAGTTGTAAGGTGCATAAGATAGCTGAGAATGTGACGGGTCTGTTGTTGAATCATAGAATACTAGAGTTGGAGGGGGCCATGAAGGCCATCAGGTCCAACCTGCTGCTGTTGCAGGACACTACTTTACACCATCCCACTCAGATGGCTGCCTGGTTTCTTTTTGAATGTCTCTAGTGTGGGAGAGCCCACAAACTCTCTAGGCAACAGGCTCCACTGCTGAATTGCTCTGGAAGTTTGGAAACTTTTCCTGAAATCTAGTCTGAATCTGGGTTGTCACAACTTGAGCTGATTATTTTGTGTCCTACACTCTGGTATGAGCTGAACCCTGCAGCACCCCTCTAGTTAACTTTCTCCATTGATGTGATGTTGCCATTGATGAGCACCATTTTTGTCTGCTTTGGCAGCCAATTTTGGATCCACCTAATTGTTTTTCTGTCTAGTCCAGTTTTTGCTAGTTTGCTTATCAGGATGTGATGGGGCACTGTGTCTAACGCTTTGCTAAAGCTGAGGTAGATTTATGTCCACAGTGTTCCCTCTGTCCATTTGGGAGGCTTCATTAGTTTAAATTAGTCTGACAGGATTTATTCTTGACAAATCCATGCTGGCTTCTATTAATCACTGCATTTGCTACAAGATGCTTGCAGACTGATTTTTTAATAATCTGCTCTAGAATTTTTACTTGGTCTTTAAGTTTATTTAAGTATTTACTTACAACTTACAGGTCATAGCATAAAAATACCATAGAATAATAATTATAAACCAGTGAAATAGTGGAATTATGAAATGAAGTAAGAAAAATATATAAGAATTACAGCAAAATAGAACCAATGCTACAGCTAAGCATTTACCAATTTCTAAGATTGAATGACAGCAGAGCGCAAGTGGCAACTTGGTTGCTAACAGGTGGAAACACATCAGCAAGAAGATAAATCAGTTTTTCAAGGTCAGAACTTCTAAGTGCTTCTACCTTTAGTGATTTGGCCCTTATCTCACTGTAAAGGGGGCAGTGGAGGACATAATGGATTACATGCTCCACAAGGAGAGAGAGACGTTCAACAAGGAACTTACAAAATGTCTCCTCAAGAGACATAGAGGCTATTGTCCACAGAAGCTATGTTAGATGGGGCACTGAATATGTTAACCAAATACTAGGAGAGGCTTCTATATTTTTTATACCAATGATACCAAAATGAAAATTTGAATGATTGAACTACAGTGGCATCTTTGTTAGCATCCTGTTCAAAAAGCCAGTTTCTAATATTTTCTCTATCCCAAAATCTGAGTTCTCCCAAGGATGGTAGGGAATACATTTGTAAAATGAGACACAGAAGTTTGGTCCATTGATTCCCGACTACATAATGGAGAAAGCGGAATTTGGCAAGATGGGATTCTTGAAGGCTTTCTAGTTTCTTAGAATGCCCCAGTAGTGCAACTTCCAATTGGGCAATGACCTTCTCATCACACCCCTAAATCTCAGTCCCATATAGCATCTGGGCTATCAATTTGCCTTGGAATGTTTTAATTTTTAAGTGCACGCACAAGCAATTGCCCTCCTTTTGAGTAAAAGAATGCAAAGGTAGCACCTGCCGTGTGCTGGGCAGTTATCAGAACAGTTGGTAGGTGTTCTGAAAGGGACTTAAAAAAAGTGATACCCAAATACTTAAAAGAGGGACATTGCTCTATTTGTTGGGCATTGATTGTCCATCTGAGATTGGTATTACTTTTGCCAAAAATGACTGTTTTTGTTTTAGTATAATTTATCTTTAGTTTTTCCCCTTCACAGTAAGCAGCTAATCTAGTCAGTAATCTTCTAAATCCAATCTCAGTATAAGACATAAGGGCCTTATCATCAGCATGCATTGACAAAGAGGTTTTCCATCCACTGAGTGAGGGGAAGAAAAAACTTATTGACATTGTAGTGGCCACGAAGACACAAAAACAGAAGCTAACTAAAAAGGAGGCAAGTAAACAGCCCTACTTAACACCTTTCTCCAGTGAGTTTGGGACTGACAGGGACCCTAGTGGGCCCATTTTTTTTCTGGCTGTAATATCAGCGTGTAGTTCAATTATTAGTTAGGAGGTGATTATCCATTTCCTAGCTAATTTCTCCCATAATTGACACTTGTCAATGGAGTTGAAGGGACTGCAGGCGGCGCAGTGGTTTGAACTGCTGTGCTGCTGGGCTGGTTGATTGAAAGGTCACCAGTTCGAATCTGCACAACGGGGTGAGTTTTCGTGGCTCCGTCCCAGCTCCTGCCTACCTTGCAGTTCGAAAGCATGCAAATGCAAGTAGATGAAGAGGTACCACTTCGGTGGGCAGGTAACAGCTTTCCACGCACTTCAGTGTTTAGTCATGCCGGCCACAAGACCACGGAGACTGTCTGTGGACAAACGCTGGCTCCCTTGGCTAGGAAACGGAGATGAGCACTGCCCCCTAGAGTCAGGTATGACTGGACTTAATGTCAAGGGGAAACCTTTACCTTACCTTTTAATAGAGTTGAAGGCAGAGGTAAGATCAATAAAAGCAATATAGCGTTGTTTTGAATGCACACTGATATATTTTTGAATGAGGGCCTTCAGAGTAGCACAGTGTTCTACTTCACCCTAACCCTGCCTGTTCTGGGTGAAGAAGTCTTGTTTCCTCCACCCGGTCTTCTAGTTTATTCAGAAGGTGTCTAGCATAAGGCTTAGAAGACGTATCTAATAAGCTAATTGGGTGGTAAGTGGCAGGTTCCTGCCAAATTGGATCAATAACTGAATCAGGCAATCTGTCCTTTCCTCTCTAACTCTCCTCTGTAACTTTCTCAGGCCTTGTCTTTTATTCCTACAGTCTTGATCATACCATCCCGTTCTTGTATTTTTCCTTCTAGGGGGACAGGTGGTAGTAAGCTGGGAGTTTAGCACACCATTAATTAAACTAAAAATATGATATATGTTGGTATTTGGTTGTAATGCAAGATACCTTTGATCCAGCATCTGTGCAGTATTTAAAAAGGCAGTGATTTTCTCACTGAGGTTAGGGCACCATCCAAGATGATATTTAAGCTGGGTGATGCCATTGAGATTATGGTACCATGCAGAAGGGAAGGCCTTGTAAGCCAAAAAAGTAAAAAACAAAGGTAGATGGTCACTCTCTGTTCTGTTGTGGATAGGAAAAAAGCTAACCTGGGAAAGAAATGCAAGAGATCAAGATGTAGTCAATGACACTGGCTCCAGATGAGCTTAGAAAAGTGTAAAGCCGCCCCGAGGCTTCGGTGAATGGGGCGGCATAGAAATTTTCTAAATAAATAAAGCCCATTAGAGCTGTCAAAATTGGACGCATGGAGACTGTACAATGTATACTTAAAATTCATATTCAGTAGGGACACCCCTTGTTTATTTACTAAATTGTCCATGGAGGACCAGGGCGGATACCTGCTAATGTCTTTGCCAATTCGGGTGTTGAAATCACCAGGCAGTAGGATATTTGCATTTGTTAGTGTTTGTTCAGCTCTCTCCAAAAGGATTTGCAGGGAGGACCAGACAGTGAACCACAGATCTGGGCTCCATCCTGTTGGAAGATAGACATTGATGCAAAGAATTAGCCCAAAATATTTGCTATCTGTCTGGACTACCTGGATATGATCACTCTCTGACCAGTTCCTTTGTTATAAGGGCCCTTTGAGGTCAGCTGAAATTATAATTGATAGCACATCACTTGCTCTTCCATACAAACCTAATTTAGTAGCAGGAATGTTATATGAGCAAAATCCTAGGAAGAAAGAAAGGGAAATGTCCAGTCACCATGTCTCCTGTAGTAAAATGATGTTAAATTCTGACAGCTATTGTTCAAACAGATACTGTTCAATTCTGACAGATACTGTTGGCCTTTCCCTACTTCAATCTCCTGTACACTTATCTTTTTTTTTTCTTTCATATTGTCACTTAACTTTTTGTGGTGCCATGTGGACTTCCTCTGTTATCTTTTACACTGTTTTACTGTTGGACTTTGTTGTTGTGCTTGGAAAATTTCTTTTTTCAAGATTTCCTACCCCTTTCTTGGACTTCATTTCCCTTAGGAGTGAGTTGCCATGGCACTTTGCCTAACATTATAGTTTGTTACACTTGGCTTTCTTGAGGTTCAGAGTACGTGTTTGGCTGCAGTTCACTTTTGACTCCTTTATAATTGAGAATTCAAGTATCTCACATTCGTCCAGGGTTCCCATGGAGGATAGCTGTTCTTCTCATTTCTACCTCAACCTTCTGCTGGAGGTAGTTGTCAGCAACACATGTTAGGAATTTCTGGGAGGAGGCATGCTTGGCAGAAATGTTCTCCCAGCATATATCAAGAAAATTGAAGTCCCCTATGATGACTAAATGTTCTTGGAAACTGGCAAGTTTGTCCTCTTTTTGACTGGGTGGCCAGTAATGGAAGCCTATAACTATTTTTCTTCGTGGTCTCTGTGCATTACACATATGGGCTTTGTGCCTGCATGGGGCCTGTTGTCAAGAAGATTTTCCTAGTTAAGCAGGAACCCCTTGGTATATAAGGGTGGGGCTCCCACTATTTTCCCCGTTCTATTCCGACCGCCATTTTGAGTTCTCTTGTTCTTATCCTTTTTCTCCTCACACCTTTGCAGGCTCTTGCAGGGAGCAACTGAAGAGCAATTATGCAGTGCAGCTGGAGGCCCTGGAGACCAGCATAAAAGGCTTCCTGACACTGTTGCTCTTTGCCACAGCAATGCCAGTAGTTTCTTGTGCTCTGCCTTCCACATCTCCACGTCTTGAACCTTGCTCCTGCCCTGCTCCAGTTGTTCCTGCCTTGCTCATTCTGCTCCAGCTTGCTCCAGTTGTTCCTGCCTTGCTCTGGTTAGTCCCTGCCTTGTTGCAGTCTTTTCTTGCCTTGTTCCTGTTTCATCCTGTATACCCTAGTCTGCCCTTGCCCTGCTCCTGTGTATTCTCGTTTGCTCAGGTTGTTCCTGCCCTGCTCCAGCCCACTCATGTCAGGACCACCCTTACGTGACTGTCTCCCTGGCATCAGACCGCTGGACTGTTTCTGGACTGTGCTCTCTCTCTCTTTCTCTCTCCCCCTCTCCTATACCATATTGGATTGCCTGCTGCCTTCACCCTAACCCTGGACTGTTGACACCACTTGCCTCTAGCCCTACTAAGTGACAAGACCTCGCTTTTCATCAGCACCCTGGTCCCAGTGCTCTGCCTGTCTCAGCCGCCAACCACATCCCAGCCCTTACACTATCTACCTCCTTTTCTCCCTTTTACCTCACTCTTCACACAAAAAATGAACCAAAAATTCTTCTGTTGTCTTTTCTCCTCCAATTTTTCCATTCTGCTATAGTTTTTTGTCCTCTTCCTCTTCCCCTGATGGCTCTCAAAGCAACTTTTTGGAAGAGCGTGCACTGTGGCACTCAAATGCCAGTGACGAGTGGGCATTTGTTATGCCTGTTTCGCCTGAGGGAGGACCAGAAGTGGAATCCCATCCCCACTGCCACGTGTTCACCTGGCAGGTTTGCAAAATCAGGGTGGGCTGGCTCAAACCCAAAATGTGGAGCTGGGCCCTCGTGGCCATTCAGTTGGTCACAGCAGCACTGCCAGTGTGCCCTTCAACATTTCAGGTGACTTCAGGTGCTGGAGCCCTACCAGTTGGGCCATCCTTGCCTCCCAAATCTTGGATTCCACTGGATGAAGATAAGTCTAAGAAAAAGACCAAAAATGGCCACAAAATGCCAACCAAGGACAAAATGGTGGCAAAAAAGGGCAAAGAAAAGCCCACAAAGTGGGCCTCATGCCACTCACTGTCAATGTCCCCAAGACTGGAACACATGCCATTTCTTCCATCTACAATCCCAGTGTCATCTCCTATGGCAGGCCCTCCATCATGCTCACTGGCATGGAGCAAACCAGCTGCTGAGGCTGAAATATGGGATTCCTCACCCCATACACCAGCCAGTTCACTGCCCTTGTCTCGTCCATGACTCCTCCATTTCTCACTCTTGGAACAACAATCAGCTGTACCAAGACCAAGCCCAGCAGTTTGCCATTCGCATGGGATATACTCCCCAGTTCTTTCCCATTCCTTAAGCCACCTACCAACAGAACAGTTGAGATCTGGGACAGGGAGCTTTTCTGGCTGCCACCAACAGAACTGTTGCATCATGGCTGTGCATGGGACAGGAGACCTATAGATCTGTGCTACTATCAATGGAGTACATCTTACTACCCAGCAGAACCATGGGGTCCAGTTCTTTCAGTGCTGCCATCAGCCCAACCAGCTTCATTAGTTTTGGTGCGGCCAGCGTTTCTTGCATCTCAGCCTCCGATTCCTGTCCATTGACCTCCTACCAGAATCCAGTTTTCTCCACGTCTTAAACCATTGTTGCCATCTGAATGCTTTCCTTGTTCAGATCTGGCCAAGTATGCATCTTACTTTGACCAGCCATCGATCTATGATGACCCAGTTTCATTGTCACCGAAAGACATCATCTTGGCACAAGGTCTGAGATCCCCCTTTAAAGACATGGGAAGGTTCTTCAAACAGGTCCTCTGAATGGGGATGTCGCTTGGATTGGACACACAGCAACTTACTGAACTGCCAGTGAAATAAGTATATGACATTGTCTGGACAGAGGACTCTGTGCTGGTGGCTATCCTCTTCCTTCCTACCCTTCTCCAATCAATGAAGGAACCATTGAAGATGCCAGCTGCAACCAACATCCTGGCATTTGGAGAGCCAATACTGGGTCCAGGAGAGGGACATCCTGTTCTGCCACATCACCCAAGGCCCAATTCTGCCATCACAGAGTCAGTGCAACATTGGATACAGAAGGAGCATTCCACTCTGGCAGATTGAGAGGAACACCATTTGGGCTCCATGGCAAAGAAGGAATATGTGGCAATGGGACTGGATCCCTGAATCTCAAATTGCGAGGCAACCTTGAGGAGATTCCAAGACTTCCTGTGGGCAAAGATGGGCACCCTAGCAGAGTTCCTTCCAGAACAGCACCAAGAACTGGTTAGGGGGTTCTAGTTGAGGCAACAAATTAGCATTGCTTGTCACCACGTCAGATGCTATTTCAGGGCACTTATTGGTGTGGTGGCAATTAGGTGACCTGTGTGATTCCATGTGGCAAGCCGTTCCCAGGAGGCACGGTCCCTCATTGAAGAGATTCCTTTTGATGGGGAGGGACTCTTCAGTGCCTGGACTAATGAGAAGCTCGACAATGTACTGAAAGCCAGGGTGATGGCAAGGGAAATGAGCTTCACACCTTCACAGCCATTGAGGGCACATAAGTGGCCTCAAGAACCATCCTCCTACCAAAACTGGGGCCAATTCCATCAACCTCTGTGTCAGCAACAGTCATCCCAGTCTTGTCCTTGAGAAACCTTTCACTTCCAGCATCTAAAAAAGAAGAAGACAGACACTTAGAGGCAACGCCACTGATTTCTACTTCGAACCAACTTCCCAACAACAACGTAGATATGGCTCGAAGGCCACCTTACCATCTATCAAATGGGAAGCCATAACATTGGATAGGTAGGCCCACTCCAGTGTCGAGAGTGAATACCGTATCAAATTTAGAAACATAGAACCAGAAACAGAGCAAGTCAGAAGGGGTCTCCCAGGCCATCTAGTCTGACCCCTGGTTCCAACTGGCTCTGCTCATGACATGTCTACCATGTGCATGTCCAGCCTGTCCTTGAACACCCCCACCGATGGAGCCTCAACCATGTTCCATGGAAGCCCATTCCATACCCTTGGGGTCCTAACTGTCAGGAAGTACTTCCTGGCATCCAAATAGAACCTTGCTTCCCTCAGCTTTGCTGCACTGGAACATGCCCTATCCTCATCTGTAGGGGAAAAATGTCTCCACCCACCTCTGCGTGACACCCCCTCACGCACCTATATGTCGCTAACAGGTCCCCTCTTCTGCAGGCTGAAAAGACCCAGTTCCCTCAGTCTCTCCTCATATGGCTTTCCCTGCAATTCGGCCAGCATCCTTGTGGCCCTGCACTGCACTGACTCTAACCTGGCTGTATCCCTCTTGTAATGAGGGGCCCGCAATTGAACACAATATTCCTGCTGTGGGTGCACCAGAGATATATAGAGTGGCAGTACTACCTCTCTTGATCTATAAGCCATGCTTCTGACTATGTATCCAAGAGTGGTGTTTGCCCTCTTGACCGCCATATTACACTGCTGGCTCATGTTTAGCCTGCAGTTGACCAGCATCCTGAGATCCCTTTCACAAGTGCTGCTCTTCAGCCACTGGTCCCCTAACCTGTACTTATGAGAAGGAGGAAGTATGTGTCAGTGGGCTGTATGAAATGCGTGGATCTACTGGTTATAGTAACTACTCCTGGCTCCAGGGAGACAGCATATGTAGTAGTTCTCTGAGTCATCATGCCATACTTATTTTTTTTTCCATTCTTCACAGCGGGGAGTCTCCCACAACTACAATTTTCCCACACTTTTCTGTTGTTGTTGTTATTATTGCAAGCTGCAACATTTTTCTCCTCCTCCTGGGTGTTTTATGTGCATCTTTATCATGTCTGCGCAGTAAAGGACTGCGTAACTTTCAGCTTGCTAACTCACACCCACCAGAATTCCTGAAGCTACTGCCCTTCACATGTTTGGGGCGACAACTCTCAGTATTCCCAGCAAGCATGCCCAATGGTCAAGAGCAATGGGTGCTGTAGTCCAAATCATCTTGCGAGTTACAAAGGTGGCCATGTGCTTGTGCAGACATTGGCCTTGTTTAGAGAAACCTGCAGCCTAAGAGCATCAGGTTGCACTCTGATTCTGACAATGTCTTGTTTCCTGTTTCTGTTTTGCACCCTTTTCCAGCAGCAGTCTGTACTTTTGTCCCCTCTGGTCTCTTTCTCCCGTGTCCATATCTCCTGCCATGTTGCTTATGGCAGGAATAATTTCTTCCTCTCTCTTTTTCAAACAATTTGCTTCCCTACGTTTAACCCTCTACTGTATTTCTGTTACTCTCTTTCCCTTTTGAATTATTTCCTTGACATCCATTTAGAATGGTTTATTTATTAGATTTATATTCAGCTTTTTACATAATAAACTCAAAGCAGCTTACATCATTTTCCTTCTCCTGCTCTCAACCGTATCCCCACAATAAGAGCCCTGTGAGGTAGAGTGGGCTGAGAGTCTGTGACTCTCCATGGTCAACTGGAGACTAGGACCCAGATCGGCGTTCCAGACCCATGCCCTTAACCACTACACCACACTGGCTCTCTGATCGCTGACTGATCAGCCCCAAGGAAAGAGAAATGCATTCTTACTGTGAACCATTTAACAGCTTTGCAGTTGGTTTTTGAGATCAGTTACCAGCTATGCATGTGGACACTCTTAACACAGAGTTCGGCTTACTTTGGTTGTTTGCATTTCGTTTTAAAGTGGAACCACCATTGTCTAAACATGAGTGCATAGTAGTCTAGATTTTTTAAAGTTAAGAGAGTGTTAGTGCTCTTACGAATGCAAGAAGTACCTGCTAAGACCCACCTAGTCCAGCATCCTCGGCAAGGTCCCAGCAGTCAAGCCATGTGTTCCATCAGTGAGCCAATCCCCCCTCTGCTTGGCCTGTTCTAAACGCATCCTGCTCCCACTGATCTTAGGACTTAGTTACAACCAGTCAGATTTGATGGACACCAGGGAACATTTGAGAGCAAGATTTGCTGATGGTCTCACTTGAACTAGACTGCTGGGTCATAATACAAAAAGAGATTACAGAGCTGCTTTTAAGCTTACTTCCTCTGGACAAAGCTGACAGGAGGTAGGAACAACCTCTTTGGAACAATCAGTTACCAAGGGGAAATCCCAGAAATATTTCCAGGTCATGTAACTGAGGCTTGGGGACAACTTACCTAAGATAGTACAGAAAGCTGCACCTGCTGTTCATTCTCATTAAACAGCTATAATGGGAAAGGTACATGGGTGTTTGGGGTGGTGAGGAGAATGTGTGTAGCTGTTTGTATGTTGGAAACCCCTGATGACAACCACCTGAGAATTCTTAATGAATTTGAATGTAAATTGCTGAGCCTCAAACAAAAACAGGCATCCTGTCCTTATAATCAGCATGAGTGGAAGGCAGCCATTATGATGCCCATTTTAAAACAGAGAATCCAGGAAATTATTTGTCAGTTAGCTTAACCTCTGTTCCAGATAAGTAAGTAAAACGCATTGTTAAAAAGACGGATGGCTCCACAGATACCTCCATAGGAGAGGGTTCATTTTGGTGAAGGTTTCTGTAAATGGACGAAGGGGAGGTTATTTTTTTCAAGCATGCTTGACCTTCTGCTTTGGAAGATTGTGAGAACCATCGGACTAGTGTGCCAGGCCTGTGGAGGAAACATCAAGGTTCCTGTATTCACAGAAGGAGTTTGTCCCTGAATGGAAAGGCTTTTTTTGGTTAGATCCAGGCTTAAACATGCTTAGAGTAGCCCTAGTGGAGTGAAGTATTACTGTCCCTGGATTCAACCCAGACTTTCTACATATGAAGAACTAGTCTTGTTGAAGAAGAATCAGTATAGCTCCTGTAAAGGAAAACCCTATATTTCCAAATTTTGGCAATTATTTAAGAATTCCAAGCACCATTAGATGGGGTGATCTGGTAGGTACGAAGCCATTTTGAAAAAGGTCATCACTAAAGGCCGCCAAAGGATGAGCCCAAATTTTCCTTACATTACCTCTTTTTGGCAGGAATCACAGGTGTTGCTGTCTGTGATACCTATAACATGTTTGCCCTTCTCCCTCAGGAGAGGCAGGGATATACTTGCCCCCAGTGCAAGCTGGTGTCCCTCTTAGAGGAGGAGGTGAGGAGTCTGAGGGCCATGAGAGCAGCCCCCATCTGGCCAGAAGGTTGAGGGAGAAACAGCTGGGGAGACATGGAGGCATGTCACCCACAGGTGGAGGAGGCCAGCACCGCCTCCTCCAATTTCTAGCACCAACTTAGAACTGGGAAATAGGTTTTCTGCACTTGAGGAGGCTGGGGCTGAGGAGGACTTGGGGGACCAACCCATTTAGGATCTCCAGCCTGGGACTAGATGCAGCCAGGGGGCTGCTGCAGGAGAGGCAAGGACCAAGGCTTGGCCATCTCCTGTCACCAGGAAGAGACAGTGGGAGGTGATCATCATCTAAGGGGCACTGAGGCGGCAGTGAGCCGCCTTGTCCTTGAGGCAAGGGAGGTTTGTTGCCTGCTGGGCCCACACAGCTGGCACATGACAGACAGAGTAGAGTGTCTTCTTCCCTCAGGGGGTCACCAGCTGCCAGGCAAGGGGGAAGGCAGGATTGCGAGGGATTTTGAAGCTCTGGGCAAAAAAGGGACCCAAAGGCCCAGGTGGCCTTTTCCTCTCTCTTGCTGGCTGGACATTTGGGCCAACCAGTGAAAGGGGGGTTGCAGAGGAGAACTACTGGCTCAGGGCATGGTGTCGGAAGGAATGCTTTCCAGTACTCCAGGTGCCTGAAGCCATTTAGATTGACTCTCGCCGCCATCTTATCTACCCATCATGTTCTGACATGACCCTTCTACTGATTTCACTACAGAGGAGGCAGGAGTTTCATCAAGAGAAGGGGAATGCTGATGCACAACTCTGCCAGTGCTACAGTAGTCTAGACAAGGTAGAAGCAAGTTGTTGTAATATCAACGTGCAATTACAAGTCTACTTTAAAAGCACGGTTTAAAATAATTAATCAAAAGCTTTCTATAACAGAGGGCAGGCTTAAGCTGGCACTGAAAGGTTAGGAGAGTTGGTGCCTGGCAGACTTCAGTAAATGCAGGAGGAAGCACCACTGAGAAGCCCCTCTTTCTTGTAGCCACCAATCTAGCCTTCCTGATAGGTGGCACTTGCAGGGAGGCCTCTGACGTTAGGAAGACCTCAGGTGGTTTCCTTCGATTTCAGTGGAACTTGAGGGTTCCCAGACAAGGCTTTTATGGTGGCATCTCCCTCTCACATTCACAGAATACTATGGGGGCCAGACAGCCACCCGTATTACCCATCCCACTCCCATGTTTCCTCTTTGCGTCTTCTGTTTCTTCTCACCATGAAAAATATGTTCAGGAAGAAAAGAAGGACCCATATTTGCAGTGTTTCTAATGGTTGGCTCTACAACACCTCTGCCTAGAAGCATCCCTGGTCAAGACTATCCTGACTTCTTAAATAGAACAAAGAAATGCTGCTTTTACACTACTCTCTGTAGCCTGAAACTTATTCTCTACAACTTCTGGGTAACAGCCTCCCTTCTTCACACAACCTGCTTGGCCCTTTAATCCAACTATTTGCTGAGATCTATGGCTTGTCCTTTCTTTCACACCTGGATGCTCATGCACATGAATCTTTGTTCCAGTCCATCCTTTGTTGCTAAGCTGCAGACGTGTATGTACTTGGCAACAGCTGAGAGTGGAACATTCCTTCCTTGCTACTGCGGCAGAAGGACACCTCCAGCCAATGCCTGCCAATGCCTGCCGTAGGCCACCAGGGAAGCCTATCTCAGGGTCTGTCTCCAAGGGAATGAGCCTATTCAGATGATAAACATTTCTTTGTCCATATTAAAGTTTGCTTCTAACATGATAGCATTAGCAGTGCAGGGAGAAAATCTTGTGAAGACACAGCAAGAGCCAGAGGTGGGCCAGGTTATTTTGATGACTAAAGCAGAAAAATGGAAAAATTTTCTACTTGTCACACTGCCACATGCCTATACATTTATTTTCTTATTCGTTCCTGTATTTGGTAATGAACTTTTGCTTTTATGGCACTGAAAAATGTGCAAAGGTTGCTAGCCTTATTCTGACCCATGTTAAAGCTAAGTGGACAAAAACACTTCATCTCTAGTATATAAACTGGAGGTACTTTTTCAAACTTTTGCTTAGTAAGTGGTCATGTGAATCTCAGTCCAATATTGTCATCTGTGCTATAGCAGTTAGTCAGCTCCAACACAGAAAGAGGGGTTTAGATGGTTAGTTCTGTGGAACTAATAATATATTCCAAAGCATGTCCGGTTATCTGCAAAATAATTTAGCAGAAATATTGGAGTCTAGTTTTCTCTCCATCCCATTTGTGAGTTAAGCCCTTGGGAATGCCTTTTTCCCTACTCGCATGATTTCTGTGCTTCACTACAACTTGCTAATGTTTGCTTAGATAAACAATGGCCTGTGCGGGCAAGGCAGAGCAGGGTGTGTGCACCCATTCATGCTGGGTTCGGGATGGTTCTCTGGGCTGTATGGCGCATAGCAGGTAGCCAGCAAAGCTGAGTTAAAACAGGTGGGACTCCTCCTTGATGTGGGCAGAAACATTTACTAATGTAGCCCCAGGGGTGTTGCAGTTAAGTGCTCCTTCTGCCAATTACTGTGACCTTACTGGTTTTCTTGTTGGAGCCATCCATGTAATTAAAACTTGCTCCTCCTCACATGATAGTTCTCTCATCTTTTAGTGGGCAAAGAAACAAGTTTAAAAGGCCTTAGAAAATGGGACAAAATGGCAAGTAATCTCTAACAGGCTCTGTAAGAGAGATTTTAAACAGCTTAACAGCAGATATTAGGCAGACTGCCTCTAAAATCAGGTTGGTGCTAAGATGCTGGGTGCAGGAAGGATTAACTCTTTTCTTACCAGACCTCCTAGCCTCCCTCCCTCCCTTCCTCCCTCACACATACGAACTCACACACACACACCTACCTACCTCTTCTAGTTTTGTAGAAGATGATACATGGTACCTGTATGTGCTGTCCTACAATCAAATACCAGCCTTGGGGAAGGCATAATTTAATTTGAGACAAATCAGTTTGAGAAGCATGGGAAAAACTTGTCTTCATGCTGTAGCTACCAAGGCCTGCCCAATTTCCCCCACTCCAATCCAGGCAGAGCAATGTTTAGGGTTTAAAAGAAACCGCATATTCCTTTCCATGCATGCATGGATGTTGCACGCGTGCAAACTGGGTAGGAAGTTGCTGGAGTACTTGAAGAGAGGAATGACTCTTGTTCAATTGATCGCTTAGAGGTCAGTAATGTGAGAATCACAGTAGGAGAAAAAATGGTTTTTTGTCAGAAGGTAGCTAAATATTTTGTGAAACCAGTCTGGAGGAAAGAAATTGCAGAACTCCAATAGTGACTCTTAAGGCACAAACAAGTTAAAAGCGGCTCAGAACACCCCCTCCTTGTTTTGTGCTGTCAGTGCATGTGCTGTCATGGCCAGTGGGTGTCTGTGGGTCAGATATCCCTGTCAGAGTACAGGGAGACTGGGAAAACTTCTCCTAAATAATCTGTGTACAACTTTTTTTTTTAATGATTTTTTTCCTGTTTCTCTTTCTAGTATCCAGCGTGCTGCTTTAATCATTTTGGAAAATTACTACAGGGACTTTGCTGTCTATAATCCAGTGTTGTTAATGACTTCCAAAACACGCTCAACGAAGCACATGGCAGGACTGAAGGTCTACAGTGTTGATGGTAGGTTGAGATAGCTGGGAATGTTTGGAAGCGGCTATAGTTCATTATTCCCCTTCGCTGCCTTGACCACTGACTGTTGGAAAGTTCAATGAGCATCCTTCCATTCCCTTCCTGGAGGACATTTCCTGTTAGGAACCTGCAGCCAGAGCTGAAGCTTCTAAGCATCTTGTTTTTCATACGCTGGGAGATTAATTGTGGCTTAGAGGCATAGAGCATCGGCATCCCTCCTTCAGGGCCCTGTTTAGCAATCTCTGTGGCACTGCTACCCAGAAAAGCTCCTATGCCTCAATTGCCCTGAGAGCAGAGTCCATGCCCCATCAGTGCATTTGGGATGTGAGCGGGATGGTGTAACGTGGTGTCCTGTACGGTGGGGGGTTGGACTCGATGGCCTTCATTGCTCCTTCCAACTCTACTACTCTATGATTTCAGTGCCCAAAAGTTGCACATACACACCTCTCTTTTACTGTGGCTCCATGACAGCTAAACTGCACTTGTTGGATATCTCAATCTTACAATCTTTTCTCAGAAATGCTGAGATAATCTTATTATGATCTGGGGCAGAGAGGATACTCAAGTTTGTTGAGAACACAATGAAGCATTTCCTGCTGGTTTCTTGATGGACTTACGTAGTACCTATGACTATTGAAAATCACCAGGGCTTTTGTCATGCCCAAGATAAAACTAAACAATTTTGCACCCACAACAAAATATTGCAGAATATCCCTAGCTACTAAGCAGGTGCTTTTGTTCAGCCACTCTGGAAAAAAAACTTGGCAGTGTTGTTTGGGGCTCCTAGTAGGCGTGTGGGGGGAGTGGTTGAAGAGCTTGAGAAAGAGGGCAAGAAAGGACACCTTTTCACCTACAGTCTCCTGAAACTTGCCCTGTTTCACCATAATGTGCTAAGTGGCTCAGGTTTACGCAAGTATTTCATTGCTCTATTAAAAGTGCCATCCCAGGCATGTTTAGACAGGAAAATGCCCTATACTTTCTCATGATTGACTGGAAAATACTTGGCATTATTGGACTTTTTTCTGCCTAACATGTCTAAGATGTTCCTTAAGTGTGTGTGTTTGCATCTGTGGTGGGGAAGCCTACTACAGGGTGGAGTGTGGTGTGTCTGGAGGGGCATGTTAATCCCAAGGGATCATCTCTCCTGCATCCTACAACCCTAATGCCAGGGTCCAAGATACTGTAAATTGTTACTGTAGTCAGGTTGATTCCCTATAGAGATGTTGCACAACATCTCTAAGTTTGGACTTGGTGAAGTCATTTGAAGGTCCATAAAAACTTGCCCTTTTCTCAGGCTCAGCTCAGTACATGAACTGGGAATGCCATCACTGCTTCCCTCTTGCTGCCCGCCTGTTCCTGCCAGCCCACCATAGCCAGCGCCCCCACCCCACTCTCCTGCCAGGCAGAAGCAAGGACAGCAATGAGAAGTGGGCAGGAGGAGGGATGGCGAGAGATTTGTTGTGTTCTTTCTCCTCCTTGGCAATGGGGCTCTAAGTCCAGGAGAGTGATAGTTGTCTGAGGCAAGCTTGGGAGAGTTTGGCATTTTAAACTCCCCTTCTTCATTTCCCCTTTTCATTCATTTTTCAGCATAGCTACAGACTTGTATAATAGGCCAACCTCTGTTCCTTTTGGCTTGCTCTCCTTGCTCTTTCTTTCTGGGAAGGGCATGAGAGTTTGCATAGGAATCAGGGAGAAATCCAGGATTTTTACCATAGGATTAATTAGGCAGCAACATATCCCCCTCCCACCTCAAATGAAAGGAAGCACCAAAGATAGGGTTTTCTGTCTTTGATATTCAGTGAGAACCCAAGATTACCATCTCCAAGTAATGAGATGAGTTAGTCTAGAACAGTCTTAGATCTCTACCCCCATATTTTTTAAAAAATATTTTCTTAACATATACAAATTCATAGAGGAAAGTTGTAGAATAGGAAAAAAACTAATATAAACAGAACAGACTAAAGTGAACAAAATAAGCAAAGTTGCCAAGGGAATTATAAACAAATACAGCCTATGTACTGCAGCTCCCAAAACTGACTCTCTTCATCTCTTCCCACACTCTATGAGAGCTTGCAAAAAAATCATTATTCTATATATTAACATATTTTCTAATCTGCTCAAACTCTACTGCTTTCCTTTTTCCCTTCCAAACTTCTCTGAACTTCCATTAGTCATGCTAAGCACAATAAAATCCCAATTTGTCATTAAATTCCTCTAATGGTCTTTGGATTACATAATTAGTTAGGTTTCCCTCACTGCATATTCTACTAATCTGTTTCTCCATTCTTCAGTGGTTGGAGGCTCCGGTGATTTCCCTTTTGAAGCTATTGTGATTCTTGCTGCCATTGTCAAATACTTACATAACTCTGACATGTCTTTTAAAAGGGTCACTGGAACAATATTCAAAAACGTGTCCTTGGGACTCTTAGGAAACTTAATTTTAAAGATTTTCTGCATTTCTGCATGTATCAATTTCCAATTTACCCCCAGTTTTGCACAGGACATGGAAATTTGCAGGACCTTAATGCTTGGTTTGTAAAAATACTTTTAATATGCAAAGTCCTACATATATAGGGAGTCTCCTGAGTATATGGAAAATATTACCTTTTGAATGGTCCTAATGTGCATCCAAACTTTTATACATTCAACACCCCAAGCTTTTACTACTTGCTTTAAGCACAGCAAGTTTAAAAAAAGTTTCTGCCATTCAAACAGAAAGATGTGAAGGCTCCTACTGCAAGGTCAACTCTTCCATCTCCCCTTTCCTTCAAGTCTCTCTTTAGGATGAGAGTCAAAGAGAACAGCCATGCAGGTGTCCATATCTGCTTTAAAGTTGGATGTGTGTCAGGGCTAACATCAAAGGGAGTACACAGGAGAGGGGAGCTGAACCAATGCCACCCCAAAGTGTTTCCTCAGGCCCATGTCCCTTTCCCTTTACACAGGAATGAGTAACTTCAGAGCATTTGGAACCAGTTTCCTACCCCTGGAACTGGAGGGCTGGAGGGTGTCGTGTTGCCCTCTCCAACTTTACCCGCTTGGTGTCTGCCTGAATGACATATGCATAGTAGTAGCTAATACTGAAGCAAGCAGCCTGGGAGCCATAAAGGGGAAGGATCTTGTGTACAGTTAGAACAAAAGGTGCACATCGCTTTTCTTTTCTTTTCTTTTTTTCTTTTATTGTGTAGTATTACTGTCTCAGAATTTATTGGTCTGCCACACCGCTCTAGAACCCGTGCTTTAACTGTTTAGATCCACAGTGCGGAATTGAGGCATTTGTGTAGATTTGCATTCTGTCCCTGGGGTCAAAGAAATACCATGTCTTGCCATTTTCATCTGTGGGAGAAGCATTTTAGTATTGATTGATTTTACAAACACCTTTCAGGATAAATTAGGAGGCATATAAGTTCCCCTCCTCTCTAGGGGCTTAACATGGATGACCGGGAACCCATTCTAGAGCAGGACCTTAGCTCACATGCTTTGCCTACACAAGATTACTCTCTGGCATCTCCCCAGAGGGTTTCAAGTCTCAGCTGGAGTAAACAACAGTAAACTGCCAGATGGGACAGTGGCCTGATCAGGCATAACACAATCTCACATGCTCTGCTCTTCTCAAAGGGACCACCTTGCTTTACAGGTCCTATTTCTGGCTAGAACATTTATGTCCTGCTTTTAGAATTTTATTTTATTCCATGTGGCAGTGCTTTGAGAGTTGTCTTACTTGATGTTGATGTTGCTTGATGTTTTCTGTCTTTGTTTCCACCAGTTTGAACTCCTCTGCACTTTGACTGCCATCCACACCCTCCTGTTTTTCCTGTCTGATTTTACATTCCCTGTTTCTTATTGCCCTTGTGGTCAAACCAAAAGTCTATTTAAGTCATGTCTTTCAGGGGATGGGGGGGGGGTGCATGTGAGTGTGTCCTCTGTCTATTTCTCAGTCGTTTCTGTAGTAATTTATAATTTTGTAGAGTTATTTTCTAACGCTTGCTCACTCGCTTGCTTGCATATATGGGCCCTATATCTACTTTACTTGCCTTACTTATGTTTCCTCTACTAATATGAAAATAAATGTATCAGGGAAAACTGTCCTATTACTTCACAACCACAGTGGGAAAGGGCTTTGTTCCTGTTTGAAATTAGGGCTATAGGGAATGTTGCAGTAGTACATCGCACTAACTGATGGGTTGAGTCTTTGTCTTTAACCCTGTTTAACCCACTGTCCTCCTCTTCTACTTCTTATAGGGCCAGACACTAATGCTACTGGGCAGTCCAGGGCCATGATTGCTGCTGCAGCTCACCACAGAGACTCGAGTCACAATGAACTGTATTATGAAGAAGCAGACCATGAGCGAAGGGTCAGGAAACGTCGTGCAAGGTAAAAACTTCCTTTAGGTAACCCACAGGAGATGGCATACTTTTTCTGAAATGGAAGCAGGAATATTCTCTTTTGTGCACTTACACACATGCACCCACCGCAATGACTATTTCCTGTACCATAAAATAGGAAAAGAAAGTGTGAGAGACTTGCATCAAATACAGTGAAGAACATCACAGGTTCAGAGAGGGAGTTCAGCTGTGGCAAAGTGTATGGCTTGTCTGTGAATAGCTCAGCTGGCTGACAGCACCCACCTGAGCTCCCCTGGCCTTAGGCGACAAGGGAAGGTTCTCCTTTCAGGCTGATATCCTGCCTGCTCCAGAACACCACCAGGTTGTTTTGCAGCCAAACTTTTGTCTGGGTCAGTCAATTTGTTTATACCTTCAGTTTGCCCAATGTATTCAAGTCCCAGCCAGCCAGGCCTCCTTCTGGGGAGACAAAGTCAAATACACCCCCACCAGCATGTCCCTCCTCCCTGCCTGTAGCTAAACTTTTTTTTTTGAAGCCAGTTCTGGTTTATCCCTGTGGCTCAGATTATATCACCTCCTTGGTGCACACCTGCATTGAGAGCAGTGAAGCAAGAGGGGAGATGGCTGGAGCTCCGGTGGAGGAAAGCTTGTGCTGAGCTCGACTCAACACAGGCTAGAGCTCATTCTCTAACGGTGAGGGTGGCAAAGGGGCACTTCTTCTTTGTGGTCTCAGTGCATCACATATATGGGTTCTGTGCAGACGCACGCAGCCTGACAGGGAAGGCTCCAAAGCTAATTTACTAGTACTCAGTGGGAGCCTCTCCTCTGGGCACACCCTGGTGCGAGAGAGGGGCTCCTTCCTGGTCCTTAGTGTTTCTTCCACTGCCATGATGGTGCATCAGGAAGTTCTTCCTCTGATACTCGTAGTGCCTCACTTATCTTTTTACTGTGTCAGGCCTCTCTGCTTTGTCAAACTCTCATTCCCTTTTCTCATCCAACTCCTCTTTTTGTCCATTACCCTTCCTTAAAAAAAAATCTATCTGTCCTATATATCTCTTCATGATTTTTCTCCACTAAACTGTTCTTTTGCCCACTAGCCTAACTGCCCTGCACCTCATTGCAGTCTTCTCCCTATTGCCCTTTGTTTTGCATTCCCGTTCTCTATGATGGCACTCGAAGCCCTATATAGAACTGCCCCAGCTGCAGCAGCAAACTGCCCCCCAACAGTGTGGTAGTGCCTTGATGTGCCTCCTTGGTTTGGGAGAGAGCCACATGGTGGAGGCCTGCCACTGCTGCTAAGCTTTTCCTAAACAGTCCAGAAAGCACAGGCCCGGCTGCCTATATGCTGAGCTCTGGAGCAAAGCCTTCCACAGGTGTAATGCTTCTCAACTGTCCACATCTGGGGCCACAACATCCTCCATGCCTGCACCATCAGCAGGGCCCTCTGTGACCACTCCACAAAAGGGGGCAAGATGCCAAAATCCCCAGAGCTTACAAGCTAGTGGCCAGGTGCCATCTGATGCTGTGGGACAGGGCTGCATCCCTATGTGAGTCCCTGCTGAGGGAATCGCAAGACCTAGCAAATTACATCAGCGCCGAGGCTACCTATCTTGCCCACCAGGAAATACACACAGCCAAACACCAGGCTCAGTGCAGTGCAAGAAACATGGCCAGGGCAATTGGCCTCTGGAGATACAGAAACAGAGTGAGTTAGGCCAGGCCTCCTGGGCCATCCAGTCTGACCCCCAGCTCCACTTATGACATGCATGTCCAGCCTATCCTTGAACACCCTCACTGACGGGGCTTCAGCCACCTCCCGTGGAAGCCCATTCCATATCCTAGGGATCCTAACCATCAGGAAGTACTTCCTGGCATCGAAATTGAACCTGGGTTCCCTGAGCTTTGCTCCAATGGAATGTGTCCTGCCCTCCAGGGGAAAACAGGTCTCTATCCACCTCCACATGACACCCACTCACATACCTGTATGTCGCCAGCACATCCCCCTGGACTCTCCTTTTCTCCAGGCTAAAAAGACTCAGTTCCCTCAGTCTTGCCTCATATGGCTTCCCCCACAATCTGGCCACCATCCTTGTGGCCCTACACTGGTGGCCACAGTTCCAACCGGGCTATATCCTCCCTGTATGATGGAGCCCAGAACTGAACACAATATTCGAGTTGTAGGCCCCCTCTGCCCTGAGGCACAGACCACCTCTGCAGCCTAGGTGGTGTGAAAACCTCCCATGCCCCCACCAAGGCCACCAGCACCCAGATGGGGCCAGGAGGGACCTGTGACGTTGGTCCTAGGCTGTCAACCTCCACCCACCCATCTTTGGTCACTGGCTGCAGCCCTTTTATCACCTTGGGCTCATGGAGCCTTTCCATTATCCAGCGTGGGTACCCCCTGTTCTGGGTGGATTAAGAGAGCAAATGTAGCCAGCTGAGTGCAGTAGAAGAGTGGAGACCACAAGAGAGACCAGCTGCTGCCAACAGTAGGCTTCAGGGTTGCCATATCATGGATTTGGTATTCTCACCCCAGATCTGCAGTGTTCTGTTTGCGCTACCGTTGGGATGGTGTAGAAGGAAATACTCCCATACCCAGCCTCTGCCCTATCCTCTCTCATGCAGTACCATCACAAGCTGCTTCACGTCTGTTGTCTCAGAGGAACATGATTTCCACATGGTTTGACTCTTCATTTCTGACTTCGGGCAGTAGCAGATGCAGGCATATCAGGAATCTCTTGTAACTTGCCTACTTTGAAGGGGTCTGCTTAGGCGTTCCAACATAATCCTGTATACTTGGGCTGACTGAAATCAGTGGGCTTAGCGATGCCTACCTTTACATATGATTGGACTGTAACCCAATTCTTGAATTACAGGAGAGGCAGAGGGTGTTTAATTATCTTATTTCTGTCATAACTGCTTTCATAGCTACTGCTTTAGCCATATTTTTGCTGAAGCTGTTTTGCTAAATCTTTTGGTAAAGAGATGGGGGCATCTTGTAGATTTCTTTAAGAACCTCCTGCCTTTCCCCCCTTAACCCGAATGCTGCTGTAAAGCACCACTGGAGCAACAGCAGTCAGGCACATCCTCTCTTCAGCCACGTTGTCTTTGAGGTTTGCTGACCACAGACTAGGCAGCAGTGCAGGCCCGTGAGCAGAGTGTCTGCTCAACTGTATCAAGCATGTTGCTCGGCTTTACCCACCAGCATCACTGTGAATCAGTTCCTTGCTTCTAGAAGTAATAGTTATGAGGAACATTGAACATTAAATCTGCTATTCAGAATATGTTGTTCACAACTTTTAGCTATGACTGGCTGCTTGCCTTAAAAAATACCCTGGTACAACTCTGGTGGTTGTGGGTGCTTCTTGTCTAAAGTATACATGGACACACTGAAGTTGTGATTATGCCCAGCTTGCTTTATTGTGATGCCTCTTCTGGTTCCTTGGTGTGTAGGCTCGTGGTAGCAGTTGAAGAAGCTTTCACCCATGTTAAGTGTCTACAAGCCGAAGAGCAGCAGAAAGCCCCAGGGGAAGTCATGGATCCTCGAGAGGCAGCTCAGGCCATCTTCCCCTCCATGGCAAGAGTACTGCAGAAATACTTAAGGACTACAAGACAACAGCACTATCATACCATGGAGAGCATCTTGCAGCACCTGGCCTTCTGTATTGCCAACAACATGACACCAAAGGTACTTCCTGGCATGCATCTTCGTGTCATTCCATGCACATGACCACAGTGGGGTATAGGTCTGCACTCACAGCACCCTCCACTGCATCTCAGTCACTTTGGATAGCAGAGTATGTGGATCTCAGGAGCCAGGGTGGAATGGTGTTAAAGGGTCCTCCAGTGTCCTTCCCAGCTTCTAGCCCTTCACTTTGACCACAACACAGAATAGATGCAACGGGTTGCAGAATACTACTTTCTTTGGTGCAAAAGGCTTAAAAAAACAGAAATATAGAAACAGAGCAAGTGAGAAGGAGCCTCCCGGACCATCTAGTCTGACCCCCAACTCCAGCCGGCTGCACTTCCAGCTGCAAATACCTACCATGTTCAAGTCCAACCTATGCTTGAATACCCTTACCAGTGGGGCTTTAGCCACCTCCCATGGAAGCCCATTCCATACTCTCGGGGTCCTAACTGTCAGGAAGTACTTCCTGGCATCCAAACTGAACCTTGGTTCATAAGCTTTGCTCCATTGGAATGTGTCCTGCCTTCCACCACAGGGGAAAACAGGTCTCTGCCAAACTCCGTGTGAAATCTCTCACATACCTACATGTCACCAACAGATCCCCTCAGAGGCTCCTCTTCTCCAAACTGAAAAGACCCAATTCCCTCAGTCTCGCCTCATACGGCTTCCTCCACAGTCTGGCCACCATCCTTGTGGCTCTGTGCTGCACCAGTTTCAACCTGGATATATTCTTCATGTAATGTGCAGCCCAGAACAGAACACAATACTCCAGCTGCAGGCACACCAGAGTCGCATAAAGTGGCAGTAATACCTCTCTTGATCTAGAAGTCATGCTTCTGGCTATGCATCTAATGTTTAAAGCTTTCCAGATGAGCTCACTAGAGCATTTCCAAAGGACCTTCTCCCCATCCTCCTAGGTGCACCCCATCCCTTATCAGAAGTGCACTGGTAAGGAACCAGATGCTGTGACTGAGGAACCTGAAACATTCCTTCCCTGAACCAGTTGTTTGTCTCTGCAATCCTCCTCTTCCTGATTGACCCAAATCCCTGGACAGGGAAGAGAGAGAGGAAAAGTCCACCTGGACCTTTAGGTCCTTCAATCTGTTGCCCGGAGCCTCAAAATACCTAGCAATCCCACCCACCCCTGCCTGGCCGTGTCTTTCATCCCCACGTGGATCACCAGAAGTGGCTGGTGACCCCCTGAGGGAAGAAGACACTTTACTCTGTCACATGCCAGATCTGTGCGCCCAGCAGGCAACAGACTTCCCTCGCCTCAAGCTCAGGGCAGCATACTACTGCCTTAGCAGAGAATCCCCAGTGATGATCACCCGCCACCATCTCCTCCCAGTGGTGACAGATGGCCGTGCCTTGGCTCTCGGCACTACTGCAGCAGCCGCATGGCTGCATCGCGCCCCAGGCTGAAGTTCTCAAACAGGTCCATCCCCCAGGTCATCATCAGCTGCAGCCTCCCCAAGTGGAGAAAACTTGTTTCCCAGGTCCGGGTTGGCACCAGGAGATGGAGGAGACCGGCCTCCTCCTTCTGTGGGAGACATGCCTCCATGTCTCCCCAGCTGTTTCCCTCTCAGCCCCTTCCTCCCCTCTCTGCCCAGAGGGGGGCTGCTCCCAGTCAGCCTGGAGCGCTCTCTCAGCCATGTCCAGGAATTGCTCACCTTCTCTTACCTCCCAGAGGAAGGCAAGGGCATCTTCTGGGCTGTTCACCTTCTGCTCTGGGAGGGACACCAGCTGGCACCTAGCGCAAGTGTATCCCAGAGAGAGATGGACAAACATGGCACAGGTGCTGCATTTGACAGCAACACCTGCAGTTCCTGCCATGGCCGTCTCCTGGCCTGACGTGAGCTACCCCTCACAGAGCCTCCCTGCTTCCCCCACCTTGTCGATCCTACACTAGCCTTACCTGACTTTCCCCATCTTGTTTTCCCAGGCAAAACAATAAAACAGACAAACAGTTAAAAATAACCAACAATGAAAAACAATGACCCGGGGAAGAGAGTCCCCAGTCAACCTGGGCCACAGCTAAGGGACACGGGGAAGTGACGACACCCTTGCCATGTTGCCTCTTGGCACCGCCAGCAGCTGAGTGCAGCCTAATAAGCCTCTGAGACTGCTGCCTCCTCCCCCTCTGCTTCCTCCTGGGCCTCTCTGGCCCCACCTGCCTTCCTCTTCACTCCTCCTGCCTTCATGAATTCCCTGATCACTCTGTTCACATTCCCCCGGCCTCTGCTGCTCTGCCAAGATCCAAAAGCCTGGGGTCCTCCCCGTGAACCCAAGTGTCACTTGGGTACAAGTCATGCCAGTGGGCTTTGTGAAAACAGAAAATTATATTGAAAGTAACCTATACAGGGGTCCATCCCTTGCCCAACCTACCTGAGAGCAGCTTTCTTCCCTCCTTACATCCCCACACTCCCTGCTCTTCCTACTCACCCACTTCCCTGGCTTTTCTCTTGGGTCACTTTCAAGAGAACAGAGAAAGAGCCATAAAGGACCATGAGCCTTGAACATGACCGGGCATGTTCAGCCTTGAGAGGAGAAGACTGAGGGGGGACATGCTATCCCTCTGTAAGTACTCAAAGGCTGTCACAAAAAGTAAGGTCAAGAACTCTTCTTCCTGATGCCAAAGTGGAGGAGATGGGATCATCAATTCAAGTTGCGACCCAGATTCAGGCTGGACATCAGGAAAAGCTTCCTCACTGTCAGGGCAATAGGACAGTGGAACCAGCTGCCCAGAGAAGTGGTGGGCTCTCCCACACTGGAGACATTCAGAGAGAAACTGGACAGCCATCTGAGTGGGATGGTGTAATGTGGTATCCTGCAACAGCAGGGGGTTGGACTAGATGACCTTCATGGACCCTTCCAACTCTGCTATTCTATGAGGGCTGTGCTTCTTGCCATAGTGCTATGAGCATTGGTGGCTTACTTTTGGTTGGCCTACTGGATGCCCCAGTGGTCAGCAGGACTTTGTGTTTGCGGTGGATACTAAGGGAAGGAGAAAATGAAATTTAAACAGTTGCCCAGGGGTTATCTAGCCTTCCTAGAAATTTGACTCTGAGCTGCCCAGAGGTTTGGCACAATTGGGCAGCATACAAATGTTTTAAATAATAAACAAATAAAATGCTGCTTGAAGAATGCTTTTCTACCAGGGACTTCCAAATGAGGCAGTGATTTTTCTGTTCTGCTAGAGCAAGAGAAGTTAATTTGTAGCTCTCTAAATATTTTGACCTACATTTCCCATAGTCATTGGTGAAGGATGCTGGAAGTTGTAAGCCAAAACTTTAGGGTGACCACAAGATCCCACTTGTGTGCTAAATAAAGAGGGATACAGAGCCAGTGTTTGCTTTCCCCCAAAATTGGTGGCCATGGGAAGAGAGCCAGAGCAGAGCATGTTAGATTGTTCATGGAGCTGTCCCTCTTCTTCTTCTCCTCTCTTCCTGTGCCCCCACTTCCCAGAAAACATCCCTGTGTGCTGCCTTTAGAAGCTACCTTCCCGCTTTCCATTTTAAGGAAGCATTCCTTGTAAGCAGTGGAAGGGAGAGTTCCACAAGTACATTTAGAACACTGCAGATAATTCGTTCTTGCCAGAGTCCAGTAAGTAAAAAATGGCAATGCTACCTCAAAAGACAGCTGAACAGCGCAAAGCAGTTAGCACACTTAGCACGGCCTCCAGTAGAAGCAGGTGGATTCCTTTTACTGGCCTGCTTGCATGTTAGGGCTAAATTGGAGGAAGGGGTGATGCGTGTCAGACTGTAGGTTGGACACTGGAGGGAAGAGATCTGAAAAGGAATCTAAGCAAGTTCAGGCCTTAACACAGAGCATACAAAACTAATGCAGCAGCCAGCCGCCCAGGGTCATGGGGGTTGGCCTTACATACATGTCATGTCCACCTTTCCACTTCTGCCCTACATGCAAGCAGATGACCAATGGCATCTGGTTCACACATAACGGGTCGCACTCAGTCCAATTATAGGTTGCCTCATGCTGTGCAAATGACTTTGCATGGTTAAGCCACGGACAACCCAGTTCGTTGTTAGTTTAACTTGGGGTTGGCTAATTTACAACCTGAAGTGTCCAGGTTCACCCATCACACAGCAATTGGTCTAATTAAAGGTTTCAGATTAAAAGTAGCAGTGGCATGTGTTTCTGCATAACACAGAAAGTTACAGAAAGCAGCACTGTTTTCCAATTGTAATGTTCACTTTCTGGTTCTTAGCTTTGCTAACACAATGGAGTAGCCTTCCTTTCTTACTCTCTGTCTTGTCTTGTAGCCCAGTAATCCTATTGCTAAGTACCTGCCAGAGCCCTTCATAATATGTTGAGTATGCGAGCAAATGGATTAACTAGTTCTGCTCTTTATAGGCACGTGAGTGTCTTAAACAAGTTTGACATCAAGTATTCTGGCAGAGTTTCTCTACCCCACTCCAGAGTTTGCATTGACTAAAATGTAAGTGGTATCAAGCAAGCACCAGAAAGTGAAGCTTGTTCTTTCAGGTTTGTGAACTGAGGTTCTTCGCTTTCCCTCCAGAGTTTTGGCAACTGCCCTTGTTTCTGAAAATATGGTTCTGCAGAAAAGATGCTGGAGCTGGGGGATGAACTGCTGATTGTAGCCCTGGTTCTGCACAGCTGCACTTCTTCTCACTGGGCCTGGGGATCCTTTTGTAGTTTCTTCCTCCCTTGCATATTTATGACAAATAGCCGCACAAAGGAGGAAAGGAACGGAATGAAACTGCCAGGCTATACATCAGATTATACTCACTGAATCAAGCCTTACTTGAAAGCTAAGACGTTTCCAGGCTGGCTCCAGATCTCACCCCTCTATTCTCTGCCTGCTTTTCTCTAGGCTTTCCTGGAACGCTATCTCAATCCAGGTCCAACCCTGCAGTACAACAAGGATCGTTGGTTCTCCAAACACTGGACACTCGTTAGTGAAGAAGCTGTAACAAAAGAATTAAGGGATGGTGCTACGTTTGTCCTCAAGTGCTTGGATTTCAGCCTCGTCATTAATGTGAAGAAAATTCCTTTCATCAAACTCTCAGAGGAGTTCATTGACCCCAAATTTCATAAGTTTGCCCTTCGCTTACAGTCTGAAACATCAGTCTAGGTGTGGGTGTGGGGTGGTGTGAGAAGGGCATAATTTCTGATTTCACGTGATCAGGTATTTGGATTTGGTTTTTTCCCCCTTTTATTCAGATCATTAAGCACAGGTGATGGACCACAAATATATTCGCCATCTGCACTTTATCAGTCAGGAGAAAGAGGTTGGAGATTTCTAGAGTCTAGAAAGATGGACTGGATTAGCATGTTCATCAGGACTGAATAGAAGCCCTAAGCTCATGCGCGCTGCAGAGGCCTGGGAGCTCTGGTGGTGGTATGCTTTTAGATCAGCTGCTGCTCCATCTTACACACATACATACAGAGACCTGTATTTCCTGACACAATGTATTTCATGCATGCATTTTGCTTAGCTTTGCTTAGCTTTTGGCAGTCACCTGTGTAGCTCGTTCAGGCTTTGCGCAAAATCAGGGTCTGCACTATCCGGACTTTTTTGAACTCATTCCACAGCTTGAGATTCCAAACCTACAGCAGACAGTGCATGTGTGAGAGCTGTTTGTCTGCTGTCCTTTCTCTCCTCCCAGCATTCAGTGCCATAAATTCATTCCTAACTCCATGGGGCAGCAGCTGCTGGAGGTGGAATAGTGCTCTTAATTGTGGTTTCTCAATTCAGACACTGTACCACTGCAAATGTTTTAATGCTTTTTAACATGTTTAAGATAACTCAGTGAAGCCAAAATAAAGTGGGTTTGCAGGTAACCTATTGGGCAGTACCTGTCAGGGGATTTGGAAGGCCATTTTGATTCTTAAAGGTAATATAAGTATCTTATACTGGGGTTCTGCATAATTCCATCTTTCCATAGGCTAGTAAGTTACTTCTTTCAGCACTCTCTATAATTTAGCAGTTTTGAATAATAACCAATTTTCTGTATAAGGGCTTTCTTCCTGTCAGAATCTTATAACCCATGTATGTGTCCTCCTAGTTTAAGCTCCCCTTTCTTTCCTTGTGTGTGCGTAAAACTTATTTTTCTAACCCTTCTAGGGTTTGTCTTTTACTTTTTGCCTCTTTATCTCTCAAATATAGAATGGTTGAGCAGAATGTGGTGGTTAGCAGAGTCTGACAAATATAATTGTGGAGTGGTTGGACATTTCTAGATTTAGTTGTATTTTGAGAGCAAACTTACTGAGTGTTGTTGGGTCCACGATTCCACAAGTTTTAGCTGGTTCTGGTGGTTATTATTTGTGTTTGCAGCTGATATCTTTGCTTGTCCTCCGTCATACACAGAAAGGAGCCCGTTGTTTTTGAGGGTCTCCACAGCCTGGAGAAACTACCATGCTTTCCCTTCAGCAAGTTTTCTACATATGGAAGATGACATATCCAGTCTCCCCAAGAAAAGTGGGGAAGGGCAATCTCACTTTTTCTGAGGAACTGGGGGAAAATGTTCACCTCAGAAATAATGTGATCCATGTTAGTCCCTTAACAAATACTTCGGTGGACCTCTGCTTGTTTCCTGCATTCACCTATTCACAGATTCTGCTTGCAGTGGCTCTTGGTGGTAGGAACGTTTTGATTACTTTGAAAGCTAGACATGAAAACGAAATATAAAATCAAATAAAACTTTACAGAGATGTTACAGTAAGAATAGTCCATTGAACAAACATTGCCAGCATTTTTGTCAAACCAGGCATATGTGTCGACATGCTAAATCATAGCTGATACAGCCCTGCCATACAACTTGAGTTTTTACCCTGTTTCAATAGTTAACAAAGGTAGGCCAGGTTTAACCCATTCATGCACACACTGCATATATTTTCCTATCCCACAGACTCCTCAAACATAATACATTATTAATTAAAGGACATCTGCCATATTTAGCTCAGTTTTTCTTTCAAACTTGAAAGCAAATTATTTTTCCAGTAATTTGTCAATAATACCATAGTCAAGCATTAACAAATTGCCAATTCATTCTTAAAACAAGCATCCAATATCTTTCTGTTTACCTGTACAACTCTACTGTAGATTAAAAGTGTAGGTATACATAGGTTTTTGCACAAGTAATACTCTGTACAGGTGGCTTTTTTTTTTAATCTGGAAGATTTGTATTTCCAGCATATATAATTTTGTGGAATTGGAGGGTTTCTCGGGACATGTCTAAATTTAAAGGGGCTTTCTCTATCACAACAAGGGGATTTCTCTACTGCGTAGTCCTAGTAAGGAATATGGATTAAAGTAAAACTCCAAAAAACAATAACGGCAAGCTTTAGGCAGAACAAGAGCCTACAGGTTCTACATGTTGGGTGCTGAAGGAATTTTCAGTCTAAACTTGCATAGGATTGTGCCTTATGATGTTTAAACATGGACTCACACTCAGTAAAAGCTTTACTCAAACATTGATGCAAGTGACTTGTCCTTGCTTAAATTTGAAGCACATGTTCATAAAGAATGTGGTTTGGGATTCAAATTTTGAATTTCAAGTGTTACACAATCCTTCATTTTCAAGATTAATCAGCTTTTGGCTGCAGTTGTACTTTCCATTCCATGTTTCTGCATTATATGAAGGAGCCCAGCTGCTCAAAGAGCAACGCAACATTGGGATGGGGTGCAAAAAAAAAAAAAAAGAAAGAAAAAAAAAGCTCCTTAAAACAATTAACTTATTTTTATTCCCCACCATGTTCTTCTGCCAAATATTCTGCTACTCAATTTCGCTTGGTTTTTGTTTGAAAGCAATAATCTCTCTCTCTCTCTCCCTCTCTCTCTCTCTCTCTCTCTCTCTCTCTCTCTCTCTCTCTTTCTCTCTCTCTCTTAATTTAACTGAATTATACCTGGTGGCTTAATGTAGGATGGAATAACCCTTTCTTGGCACAAACTTACTTTGGGAATCCTATTTCAGTTGCATCACTTCCTAAAAAATAAATATTTTAAACAATGTTTGACTGTAACCATCCAGTTAGATGTGGATGCTCGGTAAGCCTGCCATCTCTTGTGATGTGTAAATTCAGAGCAAAGGACATGGAAAAATAGAAGCAGAGCAAGTCAGAAGGGGCCTCCAGGGCCATCTAGTCTGGCCCCCAGCTCCAGCCAGCTCCGCTCATGACATGCCTACCATATGCATGTCCAGCTTATCTTTCAACAACCTCTCCGATGGGGCTTCAGTCACTTCCCATGGAAGCCCATTCCATATCCTCAGTGTCCTAACTGTCAGGAAGGACTTCCTGGCATTCAAATTGAATCTTGGTTTCCTGACCTTTGCTCCATTGGAACGCATCCTGCCCTTCTCCATAGGGGAAATCAGGTCTTGACTCACCTCTGCATGACACCCCCTCATGTACCTATAGGTCACCAACAGATTCCCCTCAGAGTCTCCTTCAGGCTGAAAAGACCCAGTTCCCTCCGTCTTGCTTCATACGGCTTCCCTCACAATTTGGCCTCCATCCTTGTTGCCCTGCACTGTACCAACCTGGCTATCTGCTTCCTGTAATGCAGAGCCCAGAACTGAACACAATACTCCAGTTGCGGGTGCACCAGCATAGTATAGAGTGGCAGTAATTCCTCTCTCCATCTTATAGCCACACTTCTGGCTATGCATCCAGGAGAGGTGTTCAACCTCTTGACCTGCACATCACACTGCTGGCTCATGTTAGGCTGCAGTTGACCAGCACCCCAAAATCCTTTTCACAAGTGCTGCTCTCCAGCCACTTGTCCCCTAACCTGTACTTATGATGCCCATTCCTACGGCCCACATGCAAGACTGCACTTATCTGCATTGAATGCCATCCATTTGTCCTCTGCACAATTCCCTATCTTCAAAAAGGGGGGAAAAGATGAACCTAGGAACTATACAACAGTTAGTGTGACATCAATCCCTCGAAAAATTCTGGAGCAAATTGCTAAAAAATCCATCTGCAAGCATCTTGAAGAAAATGCAGTGATAAATGGAAGCCAGCATGGATTTATCAAAAATAAATCCTGTCAGACTAGTTTAATCTCATTTTTTGACTGGGTACCCTCTCAGATGGACAAAGGGAACACTGTGGACATAATCTACCTAGACGTTAGCACAGCTTTCAACATAGTGTCACACAACAGCCTGATAAGCAAATGAACAAAAACTGAACTAGATAGAAAAACTATTAGGTGGATCCAAAATTGGCTGCTAAATTGGACACAAAGAGTGTTCATCAATGGCACTTTCTCAAATTGAATGGAGGTAACTAGTGGGGTTGCCACATGGTTCAGTCCTGGGCCCAGCGCTCTTCAACATCTTTATTAATGATTTAGATGAGGAAGTACAAGGAAAGATAGTCACATTTTCAGATGATACAAAACTGGGTGGAATAGCATATACCCTAGAAGGCAGAATGAAGATCCAGGGCAATCTTGATAAACTCGAACACTGGGCTGAAAACAACAAAATGAGATTCAGTAAGGACAAGTGCCAAGTGCTCCACCTAGGAAAAAGAAGCTAAATGCATTGATACAAGATGGGGAATACGTGGCTCAACAGAACTGAAAAAGATCTTGGCGTAATTGTGGACAATAGGCTAAGCATGAGCCAACGATGCGATGCTGCTGCCAAAAGGGCAAATGCTATATTAGCATTTGGAAGTATTACTTCCAAATCATGAGAAGTAGTAGTTCCCCTATATTCCTCACTAGTCAGACCTCACCTGGAATATTGTGTCCAGTTCTGGGCATCAAGATTTAAGAAATATGTAGGTAAATTAGAAAGGGTCCAGCAGAGGGCAACAAAAATGATCCAGGGTTTGGAGACACTGCCCCATGAGGAGAGACTGAGAGAACTGGGCATGTTCAGCCTTGAGAAGAGATGATTGAGGGGAACATGATATCCCTCTATAAGTACCTCAAAGGCTGTCGCAAAGGGGAAGGTCAAGATCTCTTCTTGCTGATGCCAGAGTGTAGGACATAATCAATTCAAGTTGCGACAACCCAGATTCCGGCTGGACATCAGGAAGAGCTTCCTCACTGTCAGAGCAATACGACAGTGGAACCAGTTGCCTAGAGAGGTGGTGGGCTCTCCCACATTAGAGATGTTCAAAAAGAAACTGGACAGCTGTCTTAAGTGGGATGGTGTAATGTGGTGTCCTGCAATAGCAGGGGGTTGGACTTGATGGCCTTCATGGCCCCTTCCTACTCTACTCTACTTTACTCTACTCCATAGTCTGTCTAGATTCTGGATCTGGAGTACCTGCTCCTCAGCTGTGGCCACAGCCCCAATTTTAGCATTGTCTGCTAATCTGATCAGCAGACTGGCCACCCCTTCTTGCTGGTCATTGATGAAAAGTTTGAACAGGATCAGTCCCTAGACAGACCGCTAGGGGACCCCACTCATCACCGGCCACCATTCTGATGATTCCGTACTAATAGTTACCCTCTGCTTTTGGTCTGTCAACCATGCCCTAATCCATCGGATCCCAAAACTCCTCAGTTTCTCAACCAGGATATCATGCAGCACTTTGCCAAAGACCTTGCTAAAATCCAGGTAAACCACATCCACCGCATCCCCTCCATCTAACCTCCTTGAAATCTTATCATAGAAATCCAGAAAAAAATATATTGTGGAAGAGCAGCCTGGTAGCTGCAGGACATCATGCACATTGTACAGTATGTCACGCACCAGAGACCCTTTTCTTCCTTCTCTTCCATACATCCCCAAATCTGTGAGTTATTTGTTCAGGAAACAACAAATACATCATATTATGTATTGTGTTTTAAATGCCTGTGATGTAGAAAACAACCAAACAGAGGCAATGGTAATTGCTCTGGAACTGGCAGGTTTGGCTCCAGTTTTCATCCTTCAATTTAAAAGGGTATGACTAATTTTATCGAAAGAATGTCCTCCAGTGTGTGCTTACTTGAAAGATTCTTGCTTGTGCTAATACATTAGCAGCTTAAACCTGAATGAGAGGATAAACCTCTCTCTGTGTTTGACTGGTATGTTTACTTTTGCATTCCCTTGAGAATGCAGCAGTTGAAAGTATGGTTGGAATGGGACTCCCACATCAACTTCTCCTTCCACCACAGAATTTTCTGTGCAAGTGTGAGCAAATCACTGCGTTATTTTCTTAATGCCCTTGCTTTTGTTTGTAACACCAAAGGGTACATTGATCCTTCTTATCTCAGTGGTGTGTTGCAAAGCCTCGTTAAAGTATTTTCAGGACATCAAGTATGCTATGCAAACAGAAATACAGCGGCAGTAAAACTGAGTAACTCAGTGATGTTAGGGAAGAGAGATTACCGTGTTGCTGCTTTGTAGTGTCCATTCTGAACCACGCTGCTTTAGCGAGCTATTCTGCCCACCCACTCCCTGCCCCAAATGGGGCTGAGCCACCCAGTGTGGGATTCGTGTTATTGAATCCCATGCCTTAATCAATGCCATCCACATATATCTAGGAACCAGGGAGGACTGTTGGATGGCATAGTTCCTTCTCTTGTTGACCCCCTGAAGCTGGTCCCCACGTTGCCTGCTTCTCTGGCCAGCTTTCCAGGCGCAGTCACTGTAGATGCAGCATAGGGCCTGACCATTGGAAAGCAGTTCCCATGCTACAGTAGTAAGAAGAAATCTCTCCTGGTTTACCAATACTGTGGAGATTGGGGTGGATGGGTCCTTTTCTGAAATCACCTGGTCCTGCTGCAGGTACCAGCCGCTCACTTCTGTAGCATCATCCACATTGCCAAAAGACTGGATGGATGTTTCACTCATCAGTGGCACCCCATATTCTTCAAAAAGCAAAGCAAATGAGATTGGAGCCTTGGCAACGAAAGTCATGTTCAAGGAATTCCATTGTCAATAATAGGCACATGCTGCTTTTAATACTTAAAAGTCCGGTTTGTACCAGCTGATAGTATTTCGTTTTGGGGTCTTCAGGCCTACATGGATGTAGCTGAATAGCATGGGGAAAGGAAGTATAAAGAGCGTGTGGTGGAGATGAGATGCCTTGGGGGGGGTGCACATCTTTGAGCTCACAGACCTATGTGCTTCTTTTCATGGTCATGTGGCCATTGCAAGAAATATTCCATGTAAAGTTTAATTTGTGTGAGAAAATTATTAACTCTTTCCTGATCTTAAAAAAACCAAGCCCAAAACAAAATTTTGCATTTTGGGTGGAAACTAATATGGTTCTGGATTCTTGCCATATTTGGAGTTAATATATGTTGAATGTTGGCCTGGATACAAAATTAATGTACAGCTTACATAAAGAGACAGAGAACAAAATGGGTTTTCTTTGATATGCTGTTCACATTTATTTTTCTTCATCGAGTCTAGAAGCTACTTCGCACCTGCACTGGTTTCTTGCACGGTTTGTTCTCTACATATAATTGCTACATGAATGTGTGGCTACACTTGTGTCTATTTTACTGCCTGCTCTCGTGTGTCACCTGCTGTAGTGAATTGTGGCTTCCAGGTTCAACACATGCTTGTGTTGTGGAAGAAAGAGATGTGTAAGACATCAGCCAGGGCGAATAGTGGATGGTACTTGGGAGTGGGGCCAGACATGCCCGGCCGTGGTCCCTGGGTTGAGTTATAATCCCACAGTAAGGCTTAGCCTTCTGTAACAGCAATAGCACTTCATGGGTGTTTGTGCAGCACTCTGTGGGAGGGCCAGTCCTTACAAGCAGCCCATCCATGTGATCATGACGTACACATTGTGGATGTGATCACATGCGGCCCACTGTCTTCCAGGATGCTTGAGGGTTTCATGCCTCCCTGTCACAGAGCACTGTAACCAGAAATCTTCCATTCATGGCCTTCCTTTAACAGAAATGAAGTTAAGTGCAATTGGGGTTAACAATTTCACAAATTACATCAAGCGCTAGCCATAGTTATGTGCGAATAATCTCATGCTCAGAGGAGAATATAGAATCACTAACCCCAAACTTACTCATTAACCTTGACAGTGTGCCCAAATTCATGAACTGCTGCTGTGTGACCAAGAGACTTCCTGTTGGTGCAGGCTAGTCCTGGGGTCAGATTGCTTCACCCTTGCTGGTTATTTTGGTCTTAGGCCATCAGTTTTCCCCAACTACAGCATGAATTGGAAAAGCGCTAAACCACATTTAACTGACTTGCTGTTCTGGTTTGTTACTTACTTAGGCCTAACTGTGAAGTATTTTATCTTTGCTCAGTGCCTGTTTATACATTATTTAATCCAGAATTCTTTTCCATGGGAAGGGGCAGTATTTCCTACTGAACACTCCCATCAATATGCACTGTTCTGTATGACAACATTTTCTGCACAAGTTTTTTTCCCTCTCATATTGGGACAGCTTCTCTGCACTCGTAACTTTAATATCAATGATGCTATATATGGTGTGATTTTGCTATTCTAATTGTGAACTGACAAATTAAATTGAGTTTTTATTTGCCTTTACCATTGGATGACCTGTGTGTCAAGTAATCAAGTGTCTGG